CACCATCTTTTCCAGGACATGGCAATTCAAGAAGTGTACTATCCAGATGCACGTAAAAATAAGCTGCAGATGCAGTGGGTATTGTCTGGTGCTTAAGATCACCATGAAACAGCACTGATTTACTGCACTAAATGTATCACTTGTGCTACTTAATTCCTCAATCAACAAAACTGTAGTCTCTAGCCCAGACACTGGGCATGGAGTTGCTTGGATTTCCCAAGAGAATTCTAACATTAATATTTTCCTGCACTACCTATATCTGTACATATTCATCAAACCCAAGAAAAAATATGTATTTGAAACACTGATTTTTTTTTTTTTTAATTTCAAGAGTATAAGAAGAATAACACCTTCTTAGAAGAATTACACCTTCAGAGGTGTAATTCAGAAAAACACCTTCAGAGGACCTCTACACTTGGGAAAAAAATAAAATCTGTGAAAAGGAGTTAGTGTGAACTTACGAGTAAAAAAAAAAAAAAGAAGAAAAAGAAGAAAAATTATGAATACTAGCACTTTCACCCTTCTGGTCTTGGTGACAGTAACAAAGGTTAATGCTTTTCCCATATGACAATCTTTTATTATCACCTCTCCTCAGTGGTCTCTGTCACAAACAGGAATTCCATTGAACATCTGCTGCCTTACCAATTAGGACTGTATTGAGATCAATCTATCTAAAACTCATTTGCAATACTGTTCTTTCTACTTCCAACAGACATACTCACATTTAACAATGAATAATTAATATATTATTTTTCAGTCAAAAGAATCTCTATATGTTTTTGACAGTTTCCGATAAATATTTACCCCAAAAAAGAGTACAACCTTACCTACACTAACTACCCAAGGTGCTGCTCCCACTGCTTTTTGTAAAATTCCCAGTAATGTGAAACCCAAACTGTTGGACACAGTGGTTTTGGCATCCCTGTGATAATGAGGTACGTGATAGTTACAGCCTGAAAAGACCTTTCATGTGCTTGTGTGAGGTGCCCAAACAAGAAACTTCTTTAACTGGTGTGCAGTAGTGAAAATCCAATAATGCATCATTTAAATGTACCTTATGCCCTCCGTTCTCTGAGTCCTGTTATCATGTCCTCTTCTGTGCCTGAAGAAAAATACTAACAAGTGTTAGCAAATTCAAGACCTCCCCTCTTAGACAAAAAGCTTTTTCTTGTCTGCCTATCAACAAACTGGGCATATATAACTCCAAGCACTTGAAAAATCCAATGTAGTCATGGAAAAAATCCAAGGCAGTCAAAAAAGATAAGTAATTAAGCTACCTATATGAAGATCAAAAACAATGGACCGAATAGAATGCAGTATGAAGAGCAATAGAAGTGAAAACCTGCTTGGCTGACTTTCACAAACCAACTTGCTGCTGCAACTAAACAAAAAAATCTCCAGTTGGAAACGAATAATTTAGTTTGGAAAATTCTGTTATTTTCAGGACAGGTATACACAACTTTTTAAATCAGTATCTTACCAGAATTTAATCTCCTTTCTACTGAAATAAGAGAAGCAGCATCTACATTTTTTTCTACCCATTTCAAACAATCATTTTCACTGGGAGTAGAAAGCTTACTAAGATTTTATGACAGAGAATAAGAACATAGGAACCTTAATCTACTTGGGCATCATTTTCCATTAGGCGTGTTCTTCTCAAGTGTTTGAATTGGATCTTCTTACCTGTCATTGTTACCATTTCCATGAATACAGGTGGCCAGACTTCACAAGTAAATGCATTACACTGCAACATCGACTATGGACTAAAACACATTATATTAAAGATCTACCTGTCTGTTAAGGAACATACATGATAACCAGGTACAAAAGAAAAATCCACACTGCAGGTGTTGAACATGCTAAGGACAATACTGTTTACTGTTAAAAAAGTTTACGGTTTCAATAACATTTGTAAAGAATGTGAAAACTTTATTTTTAGTAGCTTCAACTGGAGCTTAAAACAGAAGTACCCTTTACACAGGAATATTTCAGATGCTTCAAACTATTTGTTTATAAAAAGCAAGAAAAAGTGTGTGTAGAAGTCTAACAAATGCCCCTTTCCAGTGTCATTCCCATTTTGAGGTAAGGCTTTCTTTGCAAAACACTATTAAAAGTACTAAGTACTTCCACATTACTTCCAAGTCTTTATCAGCAAAACATCTTGACACTTAACAACAAAGATGACACTTTTTTTCTTCATCTAGGCCTATAGAATATACAGTTTCTTTTTATTTTTTCTAATAAAAAGAGATTGAATAGAGTGAAGGAGAGGGGATCAGCAATTGCTGTTGAATTCCACCCCTTCTCCCAGCTGAGAATTAACAATACTATTGCTACCATAAAGCTAACCCAGAAATAAAATCTAACAGATAAATGAACAGAAAAGCTGTCATGCCAACAATACCTGTTTACTGTCAAGAAAAGAAATATGTGCATTCCTATGAATCAGCTATCCTTTGTCCAGACCCATGCTTTCAAAAAGTGACAGTCTCTTTCATTAGTACCACTCCACAATTAAAGACCTTTTTATTAATACCACTCTGATTATCCCTCAGCAATAAATAGCTGAAAGTTAAGCGAAGTTAACAGAATAGGCTGGATATCTGACCAGACAATGGGATGGAGCCTTTAAGATTCCAGAGTCTTCCGAACCTCTAACACAATAACATGGAAAAAATGTATCCAAAACCATAAAACTTGGTAGAACTGAGCCACTGCAGGACTAACCCCAGTGACTGGAAAGTTGTATTAAAAACAAAATAAAGAAAACCAAACATCTTAAGCCTGAAAAGTCTATTACTACATGATCCAGATCACGGCAGACACTAAGCAGTCATCATGCAACAGCTTCCTGGTATGGGGCTTGGGGCAGAGCCTGTTCTCTGAGTCCCAAGCTGCATGGCCCAATGGTTTTGTCCCTCATGGCACATCCCACACCTGAAGGAATGCTTTTTAAATAATGATTAATGCTCTCTATTACAAAAAAGCAAGACAGCTTCACAGTTTCATAAATTTGCTAAAACTTTACAAGTGAAGATAAAATCTGAAAAAATAAATCAATTTTTAGAAGATGCTTAAAGCTTCACATCAAGAGTAATGCCTTTTTTAAACTATTAAATTGCTTTGAATTAACCTTTTGCAACAGAATGAATAATGCAAACATGCCGTTATAAAGCAACCAGTAACACACACAGAACTTTACTTCATCTTAACAGTTCTGAATTTATTAATTTAAATCCCCCATTGTGACACAAGAGCAGTAACAAAATAGCTGTATACTACTTCTGTTACAAATATAGGTACTATTTAAAGTGACTTTACATACTCTAATGTAGACATTTCTCACTCTATGCAAGCAATGAGTAAAAAAGCAATTCAATAACAGCAGCATCCAGTAATGGTACCATCTAGTTTATTGCATCTTAGTCTACCACAGTGTAACTTCTAGAACAGTTAAAAAGACAAAGAGAGTGAGTTTTTTTGTTAGTTCACTTACAGATAGCTATCAATTTGTTAACACTATTTGACAGACACTCCTAATACTGCTTTTGTGACCCATTAAAATGAATGCTAGTCTTTTGTATTATCCCCTAATAATAGCCTGACCATTGCCTTTTCAGTTCATATTTCTCTTAAGTGATAGTTGAGATAGTGGCCTTCTTGCTAAAATTCCATTTTTGCTAATTAACACTGCTGCTAAATAGCGTACTAGTTTGACTGGTATCTTCCTCTCTCAAAAGACTCAGTTAATTTTTTCTGCAGGAAAATAAATAATGGGAAAAGCATGCTTTATTTGACAGATTTCTAAAAGTGTGGCAGGCAAAGGCAGGCAGGTTACAATCAACTAAGTGTTTCATTGAGTGCAGTTTTTAGATAAAGTCTTAGTGATGAGAAAATGATGCATTTATTGACCATGTTGCTGATCAAAGAACAGCTCCACTTGCATTGTACTTACTAGACACTTTTATCTGTGCCTCTAATGTTAATATCCCCAAAATAATAGTTGTAGCTGTCAAAGCTCCACTTCTACTTATTACTGATGCAAACCTTCACTGCTGTCTTACTACTCATGTCCACTGTGAGGCATTTTCAGGTCTTTACCCATCCTCAACTCATTACTCCTGGCTGTATGCCTCCTCAGTTCAAGGAGGACTCTACCTTTGCTGCTAGTGATAATGGCAGCAACACCATTAATGTCAACTCCTTTCACACTGGCACTATCCAGACATCTGCTGGCAGCTAAGCAGAGCTGCTGTGAGAGGTTTGTTCATGGCTCTGATGCAAGCAGCTTGCAGAAATGTCTGAACCGACCCTGTACGTAGTCTTGCACATCGGAAGAGGATAACCTTTGCTTATAGACACTTCACATTAGGAAAGTTGTTTTCACCCATATAGACTATAAAATATTCCTATTTTAAAAGCCTAGTTCTCCAAATACTGCAGTTGCTGGGCATTCTCAATCACCAGGAATGCTTTCCACTAGTAATGGTTTTTCAGCCCTGAGCACAAGTCCCACAAAATCCAAAAACAAAACAAACAAAACCCAAAACCAGCATCACTACCACCAACACCCCCCCCACCACCAAAATAATGGAACCCTCAAACCTAAGCCAAGTGAAACACGGTGTTCTTTTTTTTTTTCAGATACACCATGACACTAGTAAATTTAATTTTTTTAAATTTAAAAGACAAGCAAAATAACCCACCCAAATCACCAACCTAGTTCCTTCTACTTGAGCATTGTGAAATAATATGGTCATTAAAGAGTTTGGGTTGAAAGGAACCTTAAAAATCATCTAATTCCAAAGAACCATCTCGTCTGTTAACTATCTGCCTCCAGATTACAGACTTTTCCCCTTATCTACAAAATCCCTGTCTGAGTAATATTTTTTTTCTTCAATAACCTTATTCCTATTCTCTGACTACTGCTACTCATGCAACACCCTTGCTGACTTGGTGAATTTATAATTTTTCCAACATTATTCAAATACCCGAAGTCTCTTACCAAAACATTTCCATTTTCTTGTGCAGTTATTCATGAAAACTTTCTTTTTTTCGTGGTGACTTACTAATAGGAAAAATGTCCATGTGTTTCCATAGTTAACATAACTTCATCCCAGTGGTTTCTCAGAAAGAGAAGTACTTCTAATGTATACAAAAATATGGTTAAATGTTACTTTTTTTCAGTGTTGTTACACAGTCCTGTGAAGCTGAAAGAGCAAGAAGATTACATAAACATTTCCATTCTCTTTACTATGTGGAAAGTAAACAATATTGTCTTATTGACCTTAACCAGTCAGGCAGCCAGTTCATGACAACACAGTCAAAGTGACTGTTCCTTTTGTCCTTTTCAGAATAGCAACTGCTTCCTCGTGGGTCACACCTTCTAAACTCTGCCCATTCACAGCAATGATTTGATCCCCCCTCTTGAGGCGTCCATCTTCTGCTGCTGCACCCTGGAACGATAAAAGAAGTAACTGTGGACTCAAGCATTTCTTTTTCTTCCTGACACACATTCTTGAAAAATAAACCCCTTGCAACATTTTTGATTTTCAGGGATAAACATAGAGCCAACATTTGTGAAGACTGCTAATTCTGTAGTACACCCTCCCCGGTCTAAGTTCCACATTTAGAAATTGGATCTATACAATTGTTTGGTTCCATTAACCCTGTTTTTCCAGCTAGTATAAGATTTAAACCCTAGTATTGTAGAAGCAAGATTTTCAAGACCTGGAGAACTTTTCACAAAGTGGTGTTTCTCTGAAGTCTGAGTTCAATAAAACATTCCCCTCAACTACCTGAAGTAAACACACTCTAAATATAAGGCAAGGGAGCTTTTTTCCTAAGTGTTTAACACAATTCCAGTCTCAAGAGCTGGTTCTGCTAATAAGCTGGATCCTGTATATTTGGAAATTCTCAATCTTTTGAAGAATACAGCCTTCAAATACTGCAAGCACGTTTTGATCAGCCTTTGCAATAAAAAGGAAAAGCTGTGAGAAACTGTAACATTCTTTTGACTGCAAACCCAGGCCATGATTTAGAACAGTAACTGCAGTGAACTAATAAACAGATTGTTGGAAAAAATTTCCACCTACCTTTGCAAACACTGTCTTCACATAAATGGGTAAGTCTCCATGGGGACTGCCATAGCCACCCACAATACTAAAGCCAAGGCCGTCTGGTCCTCTGTCCAGAGTAATGGTCTTGTACTGAGGAGGTCTAAGAAATGGGAAAAGAGTATTTTTATTTTGTCTGAACTTTGGATTTAACATGTAGAAAAAACCCCATTACTCCTTTTAAGCTAACCAATACATTTCCCTTTCCACTACAACTACAAATACTGTTATTATGAAGAACTGGCTATTTCACTTAATGCAAAACACTGTAAATTACCTAATGCCTGTATTATTATATGAAAGTAGCTGTTTCAAATACACAGCTCAGGGCATAGTTATGGCTGTTATGTGCCACCAACAGTGCTTACCAGTGAAGTAGTGAGGCATTGCCAGTATCTCCAGATTCCATAACATCTACTTTAAAAATCCTGTAATGTCTAAAATTAGCTCAAATAGTTTATGCTATTAAAGTTTAACTGCTTCTCTTCTAATAGATGACTGTATATTTGTATGTATGCGCATATTATACAGATAATTTACAGGTGTATTTCCCCACATATACTTTGATAGTAAGAAATTTCGGAATTCCACTTTTCAAAGTAGATATGTGTGGCTAAAGAATCCTTCTTTTCTTTCCCCATTCCTAAAAGAAAAATGCCTCAGATTTATGACAGAGTTTGATGCAAAACTTGTTTATGTAATTCACCTTGCAGAATACTAGAAGCAGTATACCTTGTATACCAGAAACATCTGATACTACTGATTACCCAGCACTGGAGAGCACACTAAGGAAACACAGATACAACAGTGAAAAGATAATTTCTGGGTGTGTCAGTTAATCCCAGCTACCCAATCTCAGTGAAGCAATAGAGGCTGCAGAAGAAATCAGATCACATCAAAAATCCACAGTAGAGAGTAAAAAAAATATTTGCAGCACAACAAATTGCATAATGAAAAATGCAGAGGAAGACCCATGGCCCATAGGTGCCATGTATACCAAATATGTTAATCATGACTAAGCCAAAAATGTCATCCATTATTTGCTAGAATTTGGAAGGTTAATAGGTGGAGTATCATCTAAAGAGGCTACAGAGCCTGTACATTCTATAGTTACTGACCCTAAATCATCCTGAAAAATGCCAGTTGAAGTTAGTCCTGAAAATGAAAGACTGGACGTAGGCGGATCCTGCTGCTGACCAGTTATGACACTTACTTCTCCTCCAGCTACAACCTAGGAACAGAAGTTGGAAATCAGTGATATAAGAATGCTGACACTAAAATAGTTCAGTGTAGCAGCTGGCAAAGCAGTATTCAGAAAATACTCAAAATGTCACTGAGGATTTTTTTACCTGCAACTCAATAGTGCCTGAAGCATTTTTTAAGATATTAACAGCTTGGGAATGAGTCATGCCCTCGGTAGATGTTCCACAGATGCTAACAATCCTGTCCCCAACCTACAGAAGAAAATGTAGAAAATCGAATTCAGTTACATGGATTTGTCACTTTTAACAACAGCAGAGCTACAAAATGACCCAGTATGAAGGCAGGTAATTCAACATCAGAATAAGCCAATTACAGCAGTTTAGTGTACAGATTAGTGTTTAGTTACACTTTTAACGAGTGTAAAATGTAGTTATGCTTTACAGAACTGATCCTAGAACTCTAGAAATGTACATGTTAAAAAAACAGAGGCATTTTGCATGTCACCTGAAGACAGACAGACTGAACTTGCAAATTATCAGAGATTCTGTTTGACTTCATCTTGAAATACCATTTCCCAAGAAACCTGAGTTAAATTCAACCAGCTTTGATGCAGATTGGATACAGCATGCATTTAAATACAGTTTCAGACAAAATGTCCGACTCTAACTCAGAGCCTAAAATGTACGCTCTTTATCCTAAGCATAGGAAGCATGAGAGATAAAACAGATTGCACACCTACATTGCAGGAATGACCACTACTCTCAGCAGTGGCACTCATTTATAGAACGCATCCTTCTGAACCACTTTCTGTGCTTTTAATTTTCACAAGCTGACTAAGATCCAAGACTGTTTAGGACCTTCTTTCTTAAGTTAGCACATGCCAGCAATTACACTTTCCTGTGCTAGCAATCAGAGTTCCTTTTTCATTAATCCAAACAGCAAGGATTCTTTCCACAGCCAGAAGCAGTTATGACTGTATCATTGAACTGCTGTTTTACTACCTGTCTAGAGTAATTACAGTGCATTACCCATGCAATCTTTACAGCCCTCTTAACAATTAACTTACTCTTAATTTCTGAGTCTGAGCTGCAACTCCATTCGGGTGCATCATGGCAATAAATATAGGAACATCTCCAAGAGGACTTCCTACACCTCCAGCAATGCTCACTCCAAGTGAATCTGCAGGGCTCTGTTATAGCAATTAAAAAAAAGGTTAGATTTTTCTGGAAAGAAAAACACAGAGAATTGTAGGCTAATCTCAAGAGATCGCTGAACCTTCTATTGTATGAAAATTAGAATTCCCATGTCAAGCCAGTTTTTAAGCTTATACACTTTGCATCACTTGAAGAAAGCAGAGAGACCAGAAAGGATGTTTCTTCTTCTCAGTGGTAGGTGAAAATGAGCTGATTTAGTTGTGTGTTTTATCTTAACCAAACTAAATAATTACAAAATTCAGCACCTGATTCTTAATGTCAGCACAGAGGTCTGAGCAAGGAAAAACAATGAGATGGGATTGCTGTCCTTAGTACCGTCTATATGCATATCCTACTATGAAGCTCCCGAAGACTAGAATTAATCTTTATGCTCCCCCTAGTGCCCAAATGTTGAAGAGCAAAAGCAGCTGTTCACCACTGCACCACACTCAAATAACTCACTCTAAAAACTGTCAGTGCAACTGGTATTTGCAGATTCTACTGTAAAAAGAGAATGGATGAATACAATCCATATAATCAAGTGAACTAGATGCCAAGCAAAGACAAATAAATATAAATATTTTGGAAAATAAGATGCAGTTTGTGACTAGGTTCACATGCATAATGAAGGTGAGTGAATTTCACACTTGAAAACCTGGCAGCTGTCATGCAAGAGTCTACTCATTAAAAATATGTGTGAAGAAAAATATCAAACACCAAAAATCAGCCTTGCAACTTTGGTACAATTCCCCTGACTTTACCAAAACAGAGTCTTTAACTCAATCTGGGAACAATAAAATTATGTCCTAGTATCTCTTCCTTCTTTTGCTTTCAACACAACTCACAAAACATAATAGCATAAGTCACACTACTTTACATAAAAATATAGGCAGGGGAGATCATACAGTCCGAAACTGAAAAGATAGACAAATTAATTTCCTCTTCTTTTCCTAAAACAATGAATATGCCTAGACTTCTTTCATTTTGTAAAGATACCCATTGACATCATCTACAAAACCTCTTCCTAATATACGCCACTGCATGCTACAACTTACCTTTTTTATTTCAACTGTTCTTAGTCCCTGTATTTCAGAAGCTGCTGTCAAATGAATTAAAATAAATAAATAAAAAAAGTTAAACTAGCATTCCTAGAAAACTTTTTCAATAAAGTTATCCAAATCACTATGATGATTCTAACTTTCTTCTTGTTTGTTATATAAATTTAAATCTGATTTAGACAGTGGTCAACATTATAATAATCTGAAATACTTCTATTTCTGATTATTGTAATAAATACTTCTAGAACAGGTGAAAGAATCAGCCATTTTCTCCATTTAAATAACTTTTGGAACAAGACTGCTATGCATGCTCAAATAGAATAGAAGAAACCCTATTATTTTCTAGCAATGCTTTGATCAGCAATAACTTTGTTCTAACTTGAAGCATGAGACAGCCATTCTACATGTATCTGGATTTCTATGAATGAGACAGCTTGTAATATGATGTAATTAGATTAAATACAAAATTATGGCTCAACTTAGATTGTCAATATCTTAACTGCTGATACAAGAAGTTGCTAGTTTCTTTCATAAAAAGCTACTACAAGATATACATGATGTACTGAGCAGTAACTGGTTCTACAGCGTTTTACTAAGGAATCACTTTGAGGCCTACATCACATAGTTATACCATTTTAACAGAAAGATCTCAGCTACCAGTTCACATGTATAAAATACTGAAAGCACCAAAAAAGTCTCCGACTTACTGGTATTCTTCTTTAGACCACTTTCAAAGACCTCAGGTGCACCGGACCCAGAAACTGGGAAACTGAATGATGAGAGACTGCCACTTCCTTCACTGACCTACACACAATGTAAGACTGGGATTAGAGAGGAGCTTCACTGACCCAGATACTAAAAATAAAACTGCAACTTGCTATATTCAGTTTATATTCTGCAGTATTTTATTTTTTCTATATCCAGTTAAAACTGAGTCAGAGAACTCCACAAACCTTTTGGTCACTGTAGATGGCTCTTTTTTGAAGCATCATTAGACCAACAGACATTGTATTTCTAGAACCCCATGTAGAGCTTTGAAGTGCTTCTTCTGATGGCCCAACAAGACCCAGTTATCTGCACCTCTATCACCTTACAGAGATCTTCTAATGCAAGTGAGCCACAAGTACCATAGTAAAGACAGAATACAAAAGACAGATCTCAGTTCATCCTCCTGTGGACTCTCAAATGTTCACCTATTGCATCAGCTATAACTGAGATTACACTCTCCACTCAACTTGATCAACACAATTTCCAGAAAGATTTTCACTATACTTGAAGGGCAAGTAAAGGAACAAGACGGTTCCTAGTGAGAATAGTTCACTGACTGTGACACACTCTTCAAAACATTCAACACTCTGAACTTCATCTTAGAATAAGACCAGCCAGAATATACATGTTTTCATGTTGTTTTGCAATACTAATTCTGAAGAGAGCCTAAAATGTCAGTCTTGTCTTGTTTTAACCTGCTCGCTTGAATTTTAATTAAACTATTTATAATTAATACTTGGTAATTTTTGTCCCCAGTTCACAACCAAAGGAAGTTCTTAAGGTAATTTGTGAGCTTTCAGAACTGCAGCTCCTACTGGAAAGAATCAGAGTGCAAACAGCTATGCCATTGAAGATGCTTTCAAATACAGAAATTGATGTGAGGTTGTAATAATCCACCATCAGAGCAACAATAAAATAAATAGGACAAGTCTGATGGAAAGAGCACAGGTTTCCTGCTTCTGGCAGGCAAGATTACCATAAGAACACGCAAAGAATGGAGAAATTCCCTAAACTTTCTGAAGCAATACTCCACTGTATGCCAAGTAATCTGACAGTAACTAAAAGGTTTAAAGTTGACTCTAACTTCTTCTGGTATTGATGAGAATTGAAGTTCTCTATGCTTCCAGGCTGAAGCCTGGAGCAAAGTAATTTCTGGATTATATTTTTGGCTGGATACTGTCTACAACAGATACAATTTGCTAAACTGAACATATAAAATGGCTACTGAACAGTTGTAAAATTTTTCCATCTTGGATCTGGTATGTGAAAAAGTAACTGTCATCATAAAACCAATCTTTTTTTTGCGTTCATTATTTAACATTATTTCTCCTAAACTAACCAGTTACATACCTGGCTGCTTTGGGATGTTCTTCTCTCAGAGTGAAAAGGCCCAGCTTTTATTCTTCCAACCTCTAGTCTTACTGTACCTAAGGAACACTAAAGAAACAGTTACTTGTAACACATCTCTTCTGTCTGCAACTCTAGAACCCACAATACTTAAGTGGCTTTCTAGAAGATGGAAGAAGAAAAAAAACCACAGACAGAGGGAAGAATGATGGACTAGCAATGCTGAAACGAGCACTTTGCAGAGACAGTTCACGGCAGGACCACTGACACACACAAAACACACCATGATACTCAATACTGAGCAGGATACTTTTTTTATACTGGACTAATCAGTATTGCAATGCAGACACAAAAATCACACAAGAGGACTTATTCTATTACATTGCACTTAATAAGGAATAGCTTCTGAACTGCAATGTCAACACACAATTTTTACAATAAAACCTAAAAACAGTGTAACACCCTGAAGTCCTAATCATTATTTCTCTTGATATGACTGAGAACATGGTAATTTAACTGGAAGTTACTAATTTTTTTCAAACTTTGAAAATTATCTGTTACTCTGGATAGACACCAATATAACTATGAAATTTTGGGCAGAAAATTTCCTAAACGTCTACAGTTTAAGTGAACTTTCTGCATCTGACTCCCAGCAATAAGCTGGATGATATGGACTGATTGCACATTGGAAAGTCCTTTCACTAGCCTTTAAGATTTCAACTACGCCATTGAGTATTCACATGTCTACATAAAATGCATGTCTCAGGAGAAAACTCACCCTGCAATTAAGTATTTCAAAATCAAGACATTATTAAAAAAAAACAAAACAGAAAAGTTATTATCACAAAAGACTTTCAACATAAGTAGTGTAAAGAGAGACATGGATCTGCAATATATTAATGTAGAAATTTCAGTTTTGTTGCTATTTTGATTTTTTGTTCCCTGCTGTCAGTGTAAACCTCTGCCTTCAAAGAATTTAATAATACATGAGGTTGCCTTTATTTATCAAGTTTTATTATCCTAAGAGAAATTCATGCATTTGTTAGAAAAATTCGCAGTAATAGGCCAATATATCAAAACCAACCAGACATACCCATTCAAACAAGGTTTCAATACCTCATATCCTGTTGCTATTCTCTTAGAGGTGACACTAAAACAGATTTATAACTAAATCACTTTTTATTTTATAAATAATGTTGACTTTTCAATGTCCTGGAAAAGACATGATCAAAGCTCAGGCAAAACCATTCCTCTTTGCCTGTATGAATTTAGTCATATTAAACCATATGGACAAGTCTTATGCAAAGTGGAAAACTGAGGAAATAAAATTACCACATCCTCACAAATACACAAACCCACAAATGAGATTTTAAAATTATGTGTGAAAGTAGGAGGTAATACTTTCCAATGGAACTTGTGAATAAATCAATTCCCATTTAGTTTTATTACACCTTTCTCTCTCTTCCTAAATTCTTCCATTTGACAGATCCATTAAGTCTAGTGAAGGGAAAAGCTGATAGTCTTTTCACATACTTTAGGAGATACTTCAAAAGAAACACTGCAAGAACAGGCAGAATTCTCAGACTGATGACACATTCTATTAGTCTCATTCTACTTAAAATACACTGGAATTTTCCAAAGATTACCAAATAATTTTCTAGCAAAATACATTTTAGGCAGTTCAAGACAATTCACTTCTAGATCCTACTCTCATGAATGAAAATTGAATGGATACCTGAACAGGAAACAGTGACTGCCTACATGTGAGTAACCATGTTTTATTCCACTTATACTATGTGAACAAACCAATTATTAACAATAATCTGGCTAAGGTATTTTAAAAGCCCATTTCTCAGGGCTATGGCAATTAACTACAAGTACTACTGAGCAGTGATGAAGTACTTAAAATCTGAATATAAGAATGGTAAGTGGAAACTAAACATCTTCAATTAGCTACTCCAAAATGCTTGTCAAAATGGAAGAAACTTCCCACATGTAAAGGCATTTTTATTCAGAGGAGAGGTACGGCATACGGAGAAGAAATGCTGTGTTCTTAAATAAAATTTAAAAACTATCATGTAAGAAGGGAAAAGTACTATAAGCAAAGAAGAGTATACTAACAAGTCCACTGTCACAACACAGACCCTGTTCTGGCTTGATTCTGATTTGGAAGTAGGGGAAGGACATCAGAACAAAAAATTTATCAAGAATAGGTTGGGTCCAAGAACTGTAGATAGTTACTTCAGTAAACTCTGAGAAAGCAGTTTCTTACACCAAATGCTTGGTCATTCAAAAACACATTGTAGAATTTAATGAATGTAAGATGGCACAACACATATATAATAAAAAAAAATTAACCTCTCCTAGTAGACCAGATTACTCAGCCCCATCCAACCTGGCCTTCTAGAGATGGGGCATCCACACCTTCTCTAGGCATCCTATTCCAGTGACTCACCATCTTCACATTAAAGAACTTCTACCTAACAACTAATATAAACTTACTCTTTTGGTTTAAAACCATTCCCTCTTGTCCTATCACTACAGGCCCTTGTAAGCAAACTATGAAAGTAGTCACTTTTAGCCCAACTACTCTGCTGAATTCTCCATCATTCAAAGTCAGTTCTGCATATCTTTCTGAAAATGTGAGACAGTTAACCAGCTATCAGTTTGTTTGACAAAATATAGTGTTAAGTTTTTAGTTGTTCTAGTTACTGGTATTCTATAAAGTTCTTCTGTAAGCCCTATGTTCATAAACATATAGCTTTCTGCACCATCACTGCTCCCAGTTTTATCAGGCAAAGTATAAAAATATGAATGATCTAGATTTCAGGGAGCTTAAATTTGGATCCCCAACTCGTCTCACTGATATCTTGGTAACAGTCTGATCTCAGTCTGAATAAAGTTAAAGCTTTCAAAAAGTCTGGATCTCAGTTTTTCACTTTAATCCATCTTCTCTTTTCCCGATACCTTTAGCAAAGCTGCAACAGCCTCCTGGTTAGCGTTTCGGACATCTTCTCCATTCACTCTTAATATCTGGTCTCCTTGCATCAATCTCCCATCTGTATCTGCTATTCCTCCTTTGACGATGTCTGATACAAATACACCTGTGTCGTTTCTGTAAATACATGAATTTTACATCACAGTATTGTTTGACAGTCATGTTTATGGCTTGCTATTGGTAACACAATAAACATTGACTCATTTTTCTGCTGAGTAACACTGGCTTAGTTCTCTAGGGAAGGCTGGTTAGCATAAGCACAAAAATAAGATGTATGGTCTTCAAGCCCACATGATCTGAGCACCAGACCACAAATGAAACACGATAACCAAGTTCCAGACGTTGAATCTTCAGGTACATTACATACCTCTTCCCAACAATACTCAGCCCGAGGCCTTTACCAGGCTTCTTCTGGAGCTCTATATTCAGTACATCATACATGTCTTCCTCTTTGTACTGGGCTTCATCTCTGTACACAGTCAGACGAACTTTTTGGGGTGTCTGTCGGAGGACATTAATGGCTTCATCATGTGTGGCATTCCTGAGGTCAATTCCGTTCACCTGCAATGAAAGCATACAATGGTAAATTGTGCAGCACCTTACAGCAGACAAACACATCAGACTTATCCAGCAATGAAAACAAAAGCAACTAAAGAAATCAGCATACCTCTAGTATCTGATCACCAGCCCACAGTCGTCCATCTTTAGACGCTGCTCCTTCTTCATATACTTCATGGATAATGATTGCTCCCTGTCAACAAAAACAACACCAAAATTGCATGTTGAAAGAACAGGCGCTACTTTGAACCAAGAAAATTGCTACTATAATTCATCAATGACAAGTCAGATGGAATGGAAGTCAGATGCATGATGAACAAATTACCAAAACATTTAAGAAGCTGATACTTCTAATTTTAAAAAGGGCTTTTCCTTATTTTTGTTTCTTTTGCACCTTTCTATAAATGTTCTAGACACAAATGACAAAAAATCTCTTCTATCAGACTTTAATTTAATTACTATTATTTCACTTGAGTAACACACATATTTTTCCAACCAACCAGCAAAGTGTCTGCTCCTCCAACAATGCTCAGACCAAGACCAGTCCGCCCTTTGGAGATATCAATGGTTGTTTCACATCCAGGAATGATGGGACAAGTAGCTGGGTCAGAGGTTAACATGGCTGGAGTTGAAGACCTGCTTGTGTCTAGAAAAACAATGAAACATCCTGGTTACAGTAACAGAGTTCAGTATTAGGAAAGTGACTTTAAAACAGCATTTTTCAGAGTTCACTGCCACCTGTACAGCAATAGCTGAACAGCTGATTCACAGAGAATGATGCTGCCAATTCTCCCTACTCCTCAGAGAAGTACTATCCTGTAGTTTTTCTTGCCATGCCTCCTGTAGTTTTAATGCCATCAAGTACCTGGGTTATAGTCTGGACAGCCAAAGCAGATATTGTACACAACATATTCTGTTTAGGATAGAATTTATCACTCAGCTCTAGACAACCACGACAGAGGCATCTGCTGCATGTCTGAGATGGAGGAGAAAATCCTCCTGCCTCTACAACAGGAAGGCAAGAGGTAGGTCTTCAGTATGGGGGCACAATGCTTCATTTATATGAATATGTAGTATGCAATCTGGAAATATAAAATGCAGAAGACAGTTCAGTGGATACAAAAAGGGAAAATTTACAAGCTGGGTCTTTGTTTTTTATGTTACAACCCTAGTGAATACAGACACACAAGGAAAACATTACTTTTGACTGCTTCTGGTTCTGGTGAGGTGGAAGTGGGGACAGCTGCTGGTGGTTGCATATTCCTCTTCTCTGCTGGGACAGTGCTGGAAGGGGCTGGTGCTGTAGTCAGGTTATCTGTCTCTGCTGGATTGATTGTAAGCCGCACCACAGATTTGGAAGTCTTCAGGAGACTAATAAACTAAATGATAAAGAGAAAAGCCTATGAAAACTGTTGTTCAGTTGCAAACCAAAAATAAATCAAAATAACAGTTCTGCAAATTGGAGCTACTAGTCACAGTCCTGCAGGTTTTCTCATAAGGAACAAATGCAAATATTGATGTTTTTTCTAAGAAACCTTTTCCCATGAAACTTTACCAAATTATACCAGATGAGAATACTGCAGTCTTTCAATGGCTTCTCTAGACAAAATACTTTATTGCATAGCCATTATTAGAGAAACAGAAGTATTGCCTTTTAATGCTGGGTAGAGTCGAATTCTGATCTCACATAAGTCAATACCGAAATATCTAGTGAACTAATGAAATGTGCAACTGTCACCCTGGGAGAAAAACCTGAAAATACTACCTGAACTATGGAAAGGAGAGAAGGACACCAGGGTATAACACAAAATCTAGTTCAAAGAGATACTGAAAACCCTTCAAAATCAATTGCCATCTTACAGAAAAGACACCAAATCCTCTTGAGACTTGACATTCCAGCAGAGATATTTTCAGAAATTACTTACTCAATCTGGTTTTTTAATGCTTACCTACCCCTACCTCCTTACAGGCACCTTCACTATCTCTTACTTATTTACTGCCTCAGAGACAGCAGTACATCAAAGACTAAGATTGATGCTCTCCTAATTGCCCTTTAACAAACAGAAAGTAATCTACTCATGCCTAAAGAATCACTTTTCTTGGTAGCAAGGCAGGTGCTAGAAAAAAGGCCTTGATTTACTACAGAACCCAAATTGAGTTTGCAGAGCTAGAAGCTAGAAATAAATCTTGTTATTTAGGAATGGAGATATTTTTCTCCAAAGGTTTGAAATACTATGCTTGGAATATAATGAGGCTGTTACTACAGACAGTTCCCATGGATAAGCACAGTTTATGACTTGATTTACCACTGATTCGACTCACTTGTGTAAATTTACACATATTAGTTTTACTAGTTCTAACAATTTTAAAGTGGACTAGCTATGCAGAGTCATTATTGAGCAATAGTTCATGAATTTTATCACACTACTAAGTGTCTCTCAGTCATCAGGTCTGAACCACAGGTAAAATAAAATGACATTCGAAGCAGAGATAGGAGGATTCATGTAGTGCATTAATGTAAAATAATAGCTGAGGTGTAAATTCAGGCTTTAGCTTATTTTGCAGTAGTTTCTTTATCCAGACAGTGCCTGCAGATCTTTGGTTTTTTAGCCAGTTTGAAAATTAAGCAAAGTATAGTCATGAGAACCTCACTAGTTTAAGACACAAGCACCTCCTATATTAAGCAGTGCGCTTTCTGCAACATCCCTGACACTTCAGAAGCACCTTTTCTACAGGATATCCCACAACAATTTCATCATCCACTGCCAGAATCACATCTCCAACTTTGATACGTCCATCCTGGAAAAACATAAAATAAAAAATATAAACTATGGATGCTACTCCAAAAAACATTCTTCATTCCCTAATCAGATTTTAAATGTTCTCACCTTTGCAGCTGCACCATGATCTGTTAAGCTTTTAATAACTACTCCATTAGTTGTGTCTTCTTCACTAATGGCAATTCCAAAGCCTCCTTGATCCTGGGGCAAACAGAAAAATGCAAATGGTTAAGTACTGTAACATCAAAATGTTAGAATACAATGACTAAAGACTAGTGAAGCCTGCTGACATATCAAATCTGGAGTTTCACAACGCACCAATATTTTTGTTTTAAACTATGTCTGGAATAGATTCTGCTAGCCTACAAACAGTATATTGAGTAGCAAGATAAATCTGAAACACTTGTGAACTCAAACCCCCTCATTTGAAACTTACACAGTAAATTGTGGTTCAGTTTTTACTTTGAACAATTAGGGCATTGATTTTACCTGAGGAACCATCAGTAGATGGTCATAAACAGTTCAGAAAACAGACTAGGAAAATGTCCTCCAGAGACACAAAGCAATTGACAGATCAAAATCAGTCCTTCTGTGAGGAAAACTTTGGGGTCCATCCCCAAACAGGAAGAGTAGATGTCTAGAAATCTCTTTTCTGACTCCTAGTAACTAAAGAGACTGTTTGCCATAAGAGGGACAGCATTACAAAATTGAACAGCTACTGAATAAAAATGTGACTGATGTAAATTCAGTACATACCTTAGGAAGTTCCACATACTGAATGTTTTTACATGAACTCAAGTCAGAAAATGCACTTGGGTTTGCAACACTAATATCAATCTAAGAGAAAAAGAAAATGGAGCTGTAAGCAACTATATCCAACATTTTGCACCAAAACAAAGTAGCGTGCAAACGTTTAAAGTGAGTCTACTCATTTTCTAGTTCTACTTAAACTTCTAAAACCCATTGATGGGAATATTACACTTAATTCATAGTATAGAAGAATATAAAATTAAACAAAATTCATCCCAGCTGTACTAAATTTAGCAAGTTTCTAAAATCTCACTTGTTTTTCTATGGGTTTCTTTCTCTTTTACTGTATTTCCTAAGCAGACAGGATCCTCCTCTATCCAGAACAATGTTAGTATTTTGGTCAAATAAGAAAAACAAATATTTACTTTACCTCTTGATGTTGAAATGTCCCTGAAGTACACTGTGAAGCCTCTATTGACTTTGCAGGGCAAACAGCCATCTGATTTACTGCATCTTTGTTTCTGAAAAATATTCGGTTATAAATAAATGTAGTGTCCAAAAGCACATCTATGTTACCAAAATTAAAAATAAAAAACACTGTGTGAAACTTGAGCACATTAAAAATTAAACCTTTTTAGTCAAACTTTAACCAGAACTTACCTTATAAAGATTACTTTAACTTTAGATGGTGCACATTTGATTATTGAAGAAGCATTCTGATGAGTCCTTCCATAAAGAATTTGGCCATTTATCTAGATAAGGAAAGGTAGCAATTATTTATCCAAATATTTTAATTCTTTACACTTAAACTAATTTTTAAGTCTTAAAAAAATCTATATCACTGACTAAACAGCAACTGTATAAAAATAAAGAGTTATGTCCTACTTTCACTCCCTTCTTCCAGTAAAAATATTCACTATAGTTTGACTTCAGACTAACACTGCCACAGTGCTAAAAATGTCACTCTCTGAGTTATATTGGGTTGACTTGGCACATCATCTATTTCTTCTTGCCATTGATCACTTCATGACTGATGAAGTGATTAAGCAGGGCCATGGGAAATTCTAACCATAACAAATAAATGAATTGCTTATATCCTACAACGAGATTGCTGTTATTTATTGACTCTCAGGCATATTGAATCCCGGAGCCAAGCACTTTATACACAGAAGTCTGAACACGGGCACACTTAGCAGGGTTTTAAACTAGATTTGATGAGGAGGAAGGACTTCTTGTAGTTCTGTGTGTCAGAGAGGAGGCTGTTGGCAAGACTTCTTGCTTCAGGTACAGAAATCAACTGTGCTTGCAGGCTCTCATCTTGATGGGGGACCTGAACCATCTGTATGTCTGCTGGGAAAGTGGTACAGCTGACTGCAAACAATCCAGAAGACTCCCGGAGTACACTGAGAACAACTTCCTGGTCCCGGTATTGGACGAACCAACCAGAGAAGGAGTGTTACTGGATCCAGCACTCACCAGTGCAGACGAGCTCATTAGAAAGACTGAGATTGGAGGCAGCCTCAGCTGCAGTGACCATGCCCTGGTTAAATCACTGACGTCAAGGAACACGGGCTTGAAAAAGAGCAGAGACAGAACTAACCCTGATCGTTCATATAATGGACTTCTAGCTGTTAAAAGAATTAGTGCATCTTATAGAAACTGTCTCCTTACGGACAGAGGACCTCACCAGTGCTGGTAGCTTTTTGAGAATACTCCATCCCCATGTGTAAGGAATCATGTTAGGTAAGCTGGAAACCAGCGTGTCTAAACAAGGATCTGCTCCTCAAACTGAGGTTTAAGAAAGAAATGCATAGCCAGTGGAACTAGGGACAGATGATCTGGGAAGAGTACGTGGATATTGTTTGGATGGGTGTAGAGATGGGTTAAGAAATACTGAGGCACAGAAGGAAGGGGCTTTAGCAAGGGATGTAAAAAGTTATCAGAAGGGTTCTACAAGTACAAGAGGTCAGAAAAGACAGGCCAAGGAGAGTGTACTCCCTGACAAACAAGAATGGACAGCTGGTGGCAATGGATATGGAGAATGGTGAGGAACTCTGCAAGTTCTTCACCTCAGTCTTAAATGACAGTCTGGCTCCTTACATCTCTCAAGTTATGGAACCTCTAGGTGGGGGTTGGGAGAAGCAAAATGTCTCCCAACAAAAAGCAAGTTTGAGGCCACTTGATGAAATTGAATAGGCACAAGTCAACGGGATCTGACCTGGAATCCAGGTTTCTGAGGGAACTGGCTTATGTAGTTTCCAAGGCACTCTCTGTCCTACTTAAGAAGTCACAGAGGTCAGACAAAGTCCCCAGTGACTGGAAAAAAGAAAACATCACTCTCACTCTTGAAAGTCAAGAAAGGAAAACCTAGAAAATCACAGACCATAGAGCCTCATCTCTGTATCTGGAAACATCATGAAGCAGATCCTCATGGAAGCAATGTTAAGGCACATAGAAGACAGGGAGGTGATCTGAGACAGCCAGCACAACCAATGACATCTACTTAAGCCTGTGTAAGACCTTTGACAAAGTTCCACACGATGTCGTTATCTTCAAGTAAGAGAGAGACAGATTTGAAGGGTGGACTATTTGGTGGATAAGGAACTGGTTGGATGGAGGCAGCCACAGCATTGTGATGAATGGCTGTGTGTCCTGGTGGAGGCTGGTGACAAGTCCGGGCTCTTTTCTGGGAGTGGGGCTCTTTAATTAATTTAAAATTTTATCAATGAAACAGATGAAGAGATTGAGTACACTCTCAACAGATTTGCAGATGACACAACGATGAGTAGTGTAGTTGACACAACATAAAGATGGGATGCCATCTGGAGAGACCTGGAAATACTTGTCAAGTGGGCCTGTGGGAATCTCATGAGGTGCAACAAGTCCAATTACAAGGTCCTGCACCTGGGTTGGGGCAATCCAAGACAAGAGTATGGACTGGAAACAGAAGTCATTGAGAGCAACCCTGTAGAGAAGGATTTTGGGATTCTTGTGAACGACAATCTGGACATGAGCAAACACTCTAGGCTTACAGCCCAGAAGGCAAATGACTTCCTGGGCTGCATCCAAAGAGGTGTGATCAGAAGGTCAAGTGAGGGGATTTGCCCCCTCTACTCTGCCCACATGAGACCCCACCTCAAGTACTGCATCCATTTATGGAGTTGCCAGTGCAAGAAAGATGTGGATCTGTCAGAGCAGCTCCATAGGAGGGCCACGAATAAATATGATCAGAAGACTGGAGCACCTCTCTTGTGAAGACAGGCTGAAAGAGTTATGATTGTTTAGCCTGGAGAATAGCAAACTCTGGGGAGACCTCATTGCAGCCTTCCAGAATTTAAAAGGGCTTACAAAAAAAGAGTAACTTTTACATGAGGTGATAGGGATATGACAAGGGACAATGGTTTTAAACTGAAAGAAGAAAGTTTTAGATTAGATGTCAGGAAAAAACTCTTTATCCAGAAGATAGTCAGGCACTGGAATGCGCTGCCCAGAGAAGCTGTGGATGCTCCATCCTTGGAAGTAGTCAAAGCCAGACTGAATGGGACCCGAACAACCTGATCTGATAGATGGCAACACAGACCATTGAGGAAGACTTGCAAGTAGACGATCTTTAAGGTCCCTTCCAACCCAAGCCATTCTATGACTCCATACTTACTATCTGAAGATGTGATCTGGCCATATATCTTCCATTTGGCAGAGCAGACTAGTCACTATAACACCTTGAAGCACCAATGATTCAGATACGAGAGGAGCTAGCAGTGTGGACTTGCAGACTAAGGCCATTATTTGCTTGGATTTGTTAAGTTCCATTTTTTCTTGAAAATGGAAAGCCATGGTGCCAAAGTTAACTCAAGAAAAGAGAAATTATTGAAAAAGGACAATTTGGACCTACACAAAGGGACAGCAATAAAATGCACACAGGTAGCACTAACAGAAGCAGAGACACAGCAAAGCAACAGATGCAAGACACTGTAAAGAGGGTTGAGCATAACACCAACCGCCTCCTATGTAGGGTGTGCACACCAGGCATGGTCACAGGGATATTGAGCCTCGTCATTTACACCGGAGTTCACAACCTAAATGCAGCATTTCCTGCAGTGGCTGCCACAGCCTTGCAAAAAACACATGGCCAGGCTGCCACCAAGTGGGGCATGGGACATGGACCTCAACAGCTGATGGACAGCTACTGGGGAGTATAGGCAGCAAGATCAGATGTCTCCTCCCAGAAGAGGTTGAGGAATTTCTTAGCATTAGTCTGCAATTTTACAGTGTGGACAGTAAGCAGGAAATCACAAGATGATAGATTCAGACAGACATATTTCAACATGTTTTCAGAATATTCCACCTCTTCAACATCAAGATTTTAAAAACAGATGTTTCGAATGAACTGTCTCACAATACTGAAGTGTGCAAAGAAGTTCCCTCTATGAGACTTGGTCCACAGTGCCAGAAATTCCTTAATTTCTTTCCTGGTCTGCAAGTTCCAGCCTACATAATTTACTCTCTCCATGTCTCCCTCAAGCTTCGTTCAGATTCATCATTCCCTTTCTGTACCACTTCCCCAGCACATCCTCACACACTTCCACATATAACTTTGAAGTTACACCTGGCATTTGTGTGAGGGTAATGTTACCTACTGCTATCAGAAAGAATGGGAAAAACTATAGTAAGGAATACATCTCCAAGTATCATCAACTGGGCTGTGAGAATATAGAAACATAAGTTATGCTTCACGTAGTACTTGAAATGTTAACTGTATGTTTAGTGGTTCGGTCACTCCAATCCACTAGAAAACAGCACCCAAACACATCATGAGTTAGACGTCTATAATAAAAATAGATCTGTTCCTGTTTCCCCAATTTAATTTCCACATTCTGTGTTACACAATATAAAAATATTCTGCTATTATCACACTTCTAGTAAACAGAAAAGTAACTAGAAAGTCTGGAGTACTCCATAGATGGGTGGACTGGAGGACTTCAATATTTTTCACAGTCTGCAATTCACTCCCACTCCATACATCTCTGTAACTCAGAAACTGCTGTTGTCCCACATTTTTATTCAGCATACCTTCATTCAAAATTGCACAACCTTCTGAGTTGGAAGGGATCCACAAGGATCACTGAGTCCAACTCTTGAGTGAATGGTGCATATAAGGATCTAACCCATAACTTTCTGTTATTATACCCAGGAAAAAAAATGCTGCACTTATGTGGCATACATCAGAAGGAAAATCTGATAGCATAGTGATATGAACTTGAATATATTTGAGACTTCAAAGTCCAATGAAAAACATATGTATTTCAGCAAGAATTTGGTATTTGAAGTTAGTACATTTGGGCTTCAGTATAAATTGCAGAAACTCACCTCTAGCAACTCATCTGCAATCTGTAACCTGCCATCTTTTCCAGCTGCTCCATTTGGATCAATTCCCACTATAAAGACACTCATCCTGGATCGGTCTCTGTTACCAGCAAGACTAAGTCCCAGACCTGTCTTTCCTTTTTCCAGCTCAATCATGTGTAGCTCCCCTGGCAGACTTCCATAGCGCTGCATGATCTTTTCTAAATGTAAAAGTGTGGGTAGCAGAGGTTGGATTTACAAAAAAAAGTTTCACAAGTCACCTAGAGAGTCAAGATCAGTGCTCAGTGGGCAGCATCTGACAAAAGAAGCCCAAAATGGGTGATTAAATTTTCATTGTAAACCACAACTTCTTTTAAACTAAGACTTAGGTTATTTATAATAATATTTTTAGCTTCTTGTTTTCCTTCTAACTTCAGAAAATATTGTAACTTTTCTTAAAAATAAAAGTCATACACAAAAGAAGTAATCTTTTCTCCAGTTACACTTTCAGGTAATAGATACTATCACTTTGATCACTGCCAACAGTTACCTGGATTACATTGAAATTCTTCAAGTAGTCCTATATTGAATTTGGACCATGAAGAAAAAAAAAAGACTGCAGTGCAACAAAGAAAAATAAATTAGTTTTATATTTTACTTTGTGCATCTGACCAAGCACAATTAAAACAGCAACCTTAGCACTCAAACCATGATGCAGATGACAAAAAAGCAGTTCAAACTGGATGCATCCACACCTGTGTCTTATACAGTGCAATTTTAACACTGAGTATTTCAAATATTATCACAGGAAACACTTACTCCAGCTGTAACCGAACTCATCGTCCTTCTCCACATCTTCTGGGAGTCTGATAGAAGATGACTGTGCAGCATCACAACTCATTCCAGAAAATGCTGAGGGAGGGGGCAGAGGCATGTTACAAAGCGAAGTCTTTTCTGGCTCTGTATCAGACTGACCAAATGCCTGTGAAGAAGAAGAAAAATGAAGCAGCTAAGAAGATGCAGGCTCTCTGTAGGGCAAAGTAGTATACAAAAATGTCAAAGTGGCAATGACTATAGCTTCAAAGTTTCAGTAACAAGCAGCTGAAACTCTAAATTAGTAACAGCACACAGAAAGGCAAGAGAGATCAAAGACAGAAACAAACACCACAGAAGATAAGAAAAAACATCACTCCAAAATGTATCTGGAAGCAAACAACTCACAGTAAAAGCCCAATTCAGTAAAGTTTTATGTGCCACTTTATGTTTCAGAAAAAGCCTTTTATGAAGACTCAAGTGCTTTTGTTTTATGCCAGATTTGTAAAATACTTATTCCCAAATTTATTTTTAAAAGTCATCACATGTAATTTCTTCCCATCATATGCTTAGGAAGCCAAATATGAGCAAAGAGAAAGTAAACAAAAAACTGGGAACTTTCAAAAATACCCACAGAAAAAAAAAAAACAACTGGCATGTTAACTGAAAGGACAGTTAAAAACTAAAATTAAACAGATGATAACTGAAGAAATCCAAAGTGACTTTTCAGCCTCATTTACTAGTTTCCTATAAGCTGCACAGAGAAGATCTAAAAAAGGAGGACACAGGTTAAATCACAAGAGACAAATCTTTTGGTCTTCATTTATTCTATTCATATTTACAAAAAATTAAGAGGTATAAACACAGGACTACTGCAATATAAGGGTTAAATGCCCAAATCCACAGCCTTGCAAGCTTCCATTCAGGGCAGTTTCCTTAAGGAATATGGACTCTGATACAGGATTTCACTATGTGAAATTTGTATAATTTTGCCTTGTTTAGAGTAAACATGGAAGCAAGAAATTTCCCTCTGAATATCATCATCCTTTAGCTTATGCATGCCCAAGAGACCTAGATATTTGGCAGATCAGCTACTGAAGTAAAGACCAAGAATTTTAAATGAAAATCCAGTATTTTTACAACACTCAAGTTTTTCAGGTGTGTTGCCCTAGCTTCATAACCCTATTCTCATAATTTCAGTTCTCACTACCTCCATCAGCAAGCTTGAAGGCACTATCTCAGATGGTGAGTTTAGGTGCCAAAATCACTCAGGTAATAATCTCTTCAACAGAGGCAACAGTGAAATTACTAACAATATACACCTCAGAATATACACATCAGCTTTCAAATTGAAGGTGTTGAGAAACCTGGGATGTTATCAGTTTAGTCATTTTGAAATTTGAGAAAGGTCCCATGTCTAAACAAAAATTACTTATCTTCACTCTGTAACTCCAAAGATTTAATATATTGCAAATGCCCTATTTCAGTTCTCTCATTCTACTTTTGCTTGAAAAAGATTTTCCTTTTGTTTAGGAACTTGTTCCAGGAACTTAACTAAGAAGTCACTAAATGACAAAAGTGTGGGAAGTGACATCCAAGCCAATAACTTTTATTAAAAATATATGTGTTATATATGACTTTTTGTATCTTTAGTCACATTGCACCCACCATGCTTCAAATCTAACACAATGCCATCCTCCTAAGATGACACCTAACATCCCTAAACTGAAGCAACAAAATTCTAGCAAAGACATTGTCACCTACCAGAATCGGAGAAGAGTAGAAACACTACCTAGTAATATTAAGAGTTATTTTTCACAATCAAAAGTCCATCTGTCCACAAAAAAGAAAAGTTGATAATATACCTCCACATTGAGGAGGGGCAAAAGGGAGAGAAATTCTAGAAACACTCTTTTTTCCTTCCTAGAATTTTACTAAAGCTAAATAATATCCTGGAAACATAAGGAAATACAGTTTTGGTGGGCTGACCCCAGCTGGAGGCCAGGTGCACACCGAAGCTGCTCTATCACTCCCTTCTTCAGCTGGATGGGGAAAATCATATGACAAAGGTCACCCTAACTACCATTATCTTGCAACACAAATCCAATACAAGTGTGAGATCAAACCAGATCAGCAAACCTTAGGTTTTATGTTTTAAAACCAAAATTAATGGATTACTTTAGAGGTACTTTTTTGTTTGTACGCAACAGTGTCCAAGAACACAAGCAAAATTTAAAGAAAACATGACCAAAAAAGGAGCACAACATTGGTGTAAAGGACCTCTGGAAGATTTGTAAGGTGTGGATGTAGGGCTACATCCTGACGATTAGCACTTATAAACTGCAGCCACTATAATATCATTGACAAAAAAATGCATCTTTTTGTACCATTGTGGGCGCGTGACAACGTTAACATAATCTGAACATTTCTGAGGTTTAAGGAAATGCTGAAATGAAAGTGAAATCAAGGCTCCGTTGTACAAAGGTAAAAACTGTGCTGCAATGCCATTTGGGGAAGGGGGAACATGTCCTGCCTGCAGAACTCAGCCTGACACATTTGAACAGCCAGAAGCAGAAGCCAGTCCTCACACACATAAGACTTTTGCTCCCTGAATCGGGCAATGCACAAAAAACTTAAAAGGCTTAATCTCATGAAATACTTCCAGTGTGCCACACCACAGTATTTCATTTAAAATGCAAAGCATCCAACAGTTGCTGAACACATTTAGCTACCAGGGTCATTCTGATCACAGTCAAGCAAATACTTAAAATGGCAGCAAGTCTGGAACTTGAAAAAATGAAGGCACAGGCGGAAGAAGAAGCAGTACTCCAGAAAATATCACAGGCCATGTACAAAAGTACAGCACACATACAGTAGGACCAACTGACGGGAATTAAGACAAACCTTGAATGGTGTGGGAGCAAAAGGGTTAGTTGGGGAACAACGGAAGGTAACCCTAATTGGATTCGATACCTCCTACAGTAACAGAAAACAGCAATCCACATGTTATAGCACCTTTGGCAATACACAGTACTACTAACCAATAACTCATTTTCAATTACAGATTCATTTTACTAACTGTAGCAACTTTATTAACTTGATTTATAAATGGACAAAAGTATTTTAGGGATTACTAAAGAGCCTGATTCATCAAAGTTTCTCACTAGACATTGAACTATACACTGAACCTGAGTTCAGAAAAAGAGGGAGATGACAGATGGCCGTTCTTATATCAGTGCTAAGAAAGAAATTATCCATAAACTACAGGATCATCAGGTTTTCTTCTAAAATGTGTGCAACATTTTTCAGAAATAGTTTTAAAAATATAGAAAACATAAGTCATCATTTATGCTACACATCTACTCTCTTTCCTCAGAACTGTAACAGACACAAAAAGAGATTTCAAAACACACACGCAATTATACACCACATATCAAATCATAAGTGTTTGTTGCACATTTAATATTTTTGACAACATGGGAAAATAGACAAAGGGCACAATCACTTCCAAAATGTAAAACCAGCTAGAAATTATTTTATTAAATCAAAAATGCATGCATATTAGGATTAGGGTTTTTTCATTAGAAGTTAGCACTGTTCCCATTATGAACAACATGCAGTAAGCACTAGCCATAAAAAAAAATAGTCTAACTTTTTTTGTATTTCCAAAGATGTTAGCATTCATGGTGCATTAAAATAATTTTCAAGAAGCAGAGGGAAAATATTTTCATACAGCATCATAAAAAAAATAGCTGCAAGTTTGTTGGGTTTTTTCATGCAAAAATAAGAGAGAGATCAAAGTTGGAAAGTCATAACCACAAAAAACCAAAAAAGAAGTACATAGCAGCAAAACAACTTACACTGATGAGAGATTTACACTTGGTATTTTGGTATATCTTGGTATATCTCAGGGACTGATCTTATAATTGAAAATCTACCCCTTTGGTAGCTCTCAATAGATCAGATTTAGTGGTTATGATTAATGGAGCTGGCATTTTTAAATTTCTCCATAACTTTTCTATGGCAAAAGTATATGCATGTCTATGTCTTTTTAAATTCACTACATAGAGTTCTCAAGCTCATCAGCATAGCCCATAGCCCAAACTGGTATAAAATAATTTAAACACAGAGACAGCAATGGGAAAGAAGCACACGTAGGATGTTTGGTGAGTGAAAAGATAGAGTGTCATCATCCAACCTTAGCAGTGTTGAACTGCGAAGAATCAGCAAATGGGTTAGTGCTGCTGAAGATAGCTGGCCTACTGAAAACACTGTTCTGTGGGAAAAGTAGGGAAGGGTTCTAAAAGGAAAGCATAATAGAAACTAAGCAAAAAAAAAAAGTTTTAAATTAACTCTTTTCACTCGTTAACCAAAACATATTCATTTAGTTGTTTGGGCTAACCAAGCAAGGTCCACATTCTGCACTTAAAATAGGTATGTCAAATTGAACAAAACTGTATTTGCCCTGTGTTTCTGATGCTCTGTCAGCAGAGAGGAAAAACAATAATCCTCACACCTGTTCTAGACCGCAACATACATCAAGTGCAGAATTACGCAATATTTATGTGCTGTGATATTTGAACCTTTTTTTTTTCAAACATCTCAGCATATGGGACACTCTTACACATTAATTAATTGAAAAAATTGTGGACTTCTGGGGTAGGATGAATACAATTATATATAACAAGGCAGTAGGCTTAGTTATATTTTGAAAACCATAGATCCTTACAATTTGATTTAATTTATGTGGTAATACACTCACTGTTTATTTTGTAAAAGTGAGGGCTTAGTAATATTATGCATCTCTAAGTAGAGGTGTAACTAACTAACTTCTTGTAATACTTAGTATATGTGCACATACATGTGTAACTGCCCGAATTTATAATTTATTGTAACTAAATATTCTGGTCTTCCCCAAAAGCCAGGTACTTTCTCATTATCATTTAACAGAAAAAGAATTTACACATTTATATAAAAGGTTATAACTTAACCATTTATATTCCTTATGCATTTTTTGTACTGCATTCTATTTTGAGATCAGAATCTGCTTAGTAAGGAGGAAACAGGGCTGATTTCAAATAGTATGCTGGAAATACACTGTGTATACTTATAAGTAATTGCTACATTGGGTGTATCCATCTGGCCATTACCTGTAAGTCTTAAGGCTGCAAGTTTAACACTGCTGGAAAATAGTATGGACAGGAACGTAAAAACCTTCCAGGATCATTTATATAATTTATAACAAGATAATTTAATTCAAAGGATTGGTGCTGATTAAAAAATTTCTTACAGCACTTTTTAAAAAAATGCTTCTGAAAACAGTAAATACATCTCTAAACATTTATTTTCAAATAAATGTTGCAAAAAAGTAATTCCATTTGGTAAGACAACAAATGTCTTGGCTCTACTGTATCTTCAGCAGTGACAAAGTTATCCCATGAATGACCAAGGATTCTTCTCTGTCAAAACACTCAAAGTCAACAGGCTGTTTCCCTAGGGTACAAGATTTTCTGTGGATGTGATTCTCATTTGATCTTGAATATTATAAAGAAAGGTTTGTGAAAAGTAAATTGATATTGTAATCATCCTATTACACTTTAACAGTTACATGTCATCTGCACAGAATTTTAAAACATATCCTGTTGAAATTTTAGGCAATTAAAATAAGAATCACAAATACTTCATATATCAACAGTAAAATCCTAGTAAAACAGGAAACAAAAGTTCAGCTACAGTCATTCCAAATCTTTCCTTTTTTATTTTATCATGATGGCATAGCTCCTAAAATACTAGCCCTAATACTAATCCATGCAACAGCATTGATTTAATAGAGACTGACTACTATGATAAAATATGGAACATTTGAATTTGCTTGAACAGTTCAGTTTAGCATACTTTTTGTGCAGTCTAGGACAAGAAGAGCAGATGCTAAAATAAAGGGAGTTCCCTCTTTAACTTTTTTTTTTTTTTTTAATTCAAATCAGTCTAGAGTAACAGGATTTTTTTCCTTCTGATCTTTCATTTTTACAGCTAACTTCCATTCAGAATCTTATCAATGTGTCCAAGATGCTAAGTTATCAGAAACTAGCTAGCATTTCATACAGCATAATGCTGTAACACTATGGGACCATAATCACAGTGATATATTGTTTCTAACTCAGAAATACAGAAAGGAATCAGTATGAAATACAGACTCTATGGGTAACTCATCATCAAAACTATCACTATCTTTTCACAGGCCACTTGCATTATTCAGGCTGTTCTGGAGTACACACAGGCTCTCTTTTAACTACTAAACCTGCATGAAAAAACAAAAGGTAAGAAATGGACTCATTAGCTAAAGGTCACTTAAAATGGACTGCCTGGTTAAATACATAGTGACGCCATAATAATTATAATTTGTGCGTAGGCAGCTAGCTGCTTGGGTGAATGGTGAATGAAAGCAGGAAATTTCCTTAGAAGATCCTATTATTAAGTACAAATGCAAGTTTTGAGAGATGAAAATAATAAACATAATGCCATTTATGAAGAACACAACATAATGTATGGTACAGGAAGAGCATTTGCAATGTTTCTGCTTACAGAGAAAGAATTTGTTAGTACAGTCAAGAAATAATCAACAAGCATAATTTGAAAATAGAGAATAAAGAACTACAATCAAAAATAGCAAAGGAGCATTCTCTAAATAAAATATTCTCTAAATGAAAGTGTGATAAAGCAATGGCATCATTTCCGTCCCAAATGGGCCTAAACATTCAGTAGCAGCAATTCTGTTCACACCACAGCAAATGCAGAAGCATTACTTTAGTAGTTTGAGTGTCAATAATCAACATCAACAGAGCTTGTTCATGCAACTTTACCTTAGATGACTGACGATAAAATGGGTTAGTAGTTTTCTGCCCACAGGGAGCAGAAGCTGAAGAAGGGCTATAAAGAGACTCTGGCTGGGGAACAAGAGTTATGAGACAACTAGTAAATAAACATGCAGCTTACACAGACTCTACAATGAGGAAGTTTAGTTTCTAGTGGTGCAATCAACTCATATTAAAGCTCAGTAGCTTTTGTCTGCAATGTCCATACAGCTTAGTGACACTTCCGTGTACTTCTAGGTCCTTTCATTAATGTCCACAGAATTTTTTAACAGGTGCTGTATTTCTGCATGCGCTCCTCAGACACGCTGTCAATCTCTAACAGATGGTTTTAGTTAGACTCCTACTCTGCCCCCCAACAAATTATCTTTCTTGAGGCTTTTCAATATAGTTTGAGGACGGCGTACTGGAGGGTATTTCCAAATCCAAATCGATTTCATTCTAAATGGAAATAATACTTAAATCAAATCTTTGTTCCTAAAATAGTTGAGATGGCACTTTCAGGATTAAATATCCCATTCCCAAATACCACCATCTTGAACATTTGCTTCATCTATTACTACGTATTTACATCTCTTTTCATATTCTTTATGCTTACCCTCGGTCTGCTTATAATGCTCTGTACCATAAAGACTACAGGATTGCCTGCCTTCCGTATGGCTTCCACAGCTTGTTCGTGGCTGGCATCTCTGAGGTCAATTCCATCCACCTGTAATTGGAAGGCCTCATCTTAACATTGCAAGAAGCTACAAGAGTCATGAGTCAGTTCTGAATTTTAGTTAGGAAACTTTAACTAAAACCTAAGCCCAAACCTCTGTTTCTAGCGGACCTTTCTACTGACTTGGCCCAAGATCCCTCAAACACAGGTTTGATATTTCCAAGAGCACTTATAGGACATTAAATAAATATTCTCTGATTCCGCATTTTAAAAACACGTTTTCCAACATTTTTACTTCAGACTCTGTTAAGTTTTCCCACAAGCAATGTAACTGAAAAGATATGATAATCTGAAGACAGTAGGAGTGTTTACTGAATACTGCTTCCTACAAATCCCACCTCAAGAAAGAACTATTACTCAGGACTTTATGAGATTTAAAAACTGAAACTTGTTAGGTGCTAGAGTCTTTCATGATGGGGTATTGCCAGTATAATGTACTTCTTTGCTCTTGTTTTATCTTTTTTTTTTGTTGCTAAAGCAAGATAAGATCAATTTTAGCTACTAGACACTTCCTTCAGAAGTTAAACTTTTAGGTCAGAGTTGAAAAGGCTTCTATCTTCTGGAAGAATGCATTTACACAGGATGGCTAAGGACAAATTCGTGCCTGGTCAGTTTTTGTCATGTGTGTATATGCATGAGTGCGTAAAACAATTTGTCCTGTTATCCAGGTATGAACAATGTTAAGGTGAGGTTAGCATCAGTAAAGTATTGTCACAATGACCACAATAAAAGCTGGAAGCTAACACAGAAGTGTTATTTGTTAGTGGAAATTCTAGCACACAAACATATATGATGAGAAGGACCGCTATAACTTTTAAATTGTCTAAGTCAAACTTAATCATCCAGTGCAAATAAGAGAGCACAAAAACAATCTGAGAGAAATTCTAAACCTATGAGGAACTGAACAAGAACAACAACATCCTCCAAATTCCCATGTCTGAAAAACTGTATGCTCTACAGAGATGGAAGTTTACATATGCCACAACTTGAAAAACTGAAACCGTTCATTCAGAAACAGTCACCTTAACACAACATTTTGATTTCACTCACCCATTCCAGCTTCTGCAAGCATCTCTGTCAGAGAACTGCACTCATAAAAATATATTTTTTCAGATGAAAAGAATGTTTTTAACTTTGTGGCCTTCAAGCAAAATTCCACCTCCCAGCTTCTTATACACTGCAAACTATTCCATCCTGTTACAGGAGCTGCTACCTATACTGAAGTATTATTTCAAGATCCTCAATATCAATCTCGTAGCAAACAGCAAACTGCAGGTTCAGTACCACCGTGTAAGTCAAGTCCAGTCTGAGCCTGAATCAACAACTCCATCACCCTGCTTGTTGTGCTTCTTACTGATGAATAGTCAGCTAAGGACATCCAGCAGGGTTAAATGCAGGCAGTTCCTATTAGCCTGACACTGGAGATAGGGCAATGTCTGACACTGATAGTCATGTCAGGAAAGATCTATTCCATTTAGTTCATTCTTCAATATCTTTAAGTGAGAAACAGAAGTGGCTGCATGAGCACAAGACTAGCTAAGTAAAAGAGAAATGAAAATAAATCTCGCTCTGCAATACCACTGGCTATGTCACACTCAGGCATGGGCAAAATGTTCATGATATCTGAAGTATCAAACACAGATTTCTTCATGTCAGGAGAAAAAAAATTGTGCCTCCCTTAACTTCTGCACAAGATGCATAAGAATTATGTGAATCAATTAAGATTTAAGATGGAAATAATGTTGGCATTCATTTGCATGGTTTGCACTGGCTGTTTCTATTGCTACCCAGTACGCAAAGGTGAAAAATCTTTTAGTTTCACCAAACTTAAGCCTTTTTCTACCCATTCTGGTTTTCAAATAGGCAGGTCAAACTGCTGGCTTTGCAGACTCCTGCTTACACAGTCAGTCATCTGTTTCAGGCTGGATATTCAACTTAACAGGCAGCTGTTGGCACACAAACATCAGCAGATGGTACTACAGTCTGTGTGGTTCAAGTGGTATCAGCTGTAGCAATTGCTCAGCTGTCAGCCTACCACACATCCATGTCAGTGACTCCTGAGATGCTGGGGGAATTGTAGCAAAAGACATTCAGATGGTACCTCTACAATCCGATCTCCAGTTTTCAGTGTTCCATTTTTGCCAGCTGGACTGTCTTCCAGAATGTGTTTGATAAAGATCCCTCTCATCACTTCTCCATTACTCAGGCGGCTTCCCATCCCTCGTCCTCCAACAATGCTGATCCCCAACGACTTGCTAGGCTCTCTCCAGAGTTCAACCCTTTTGTGACAAAAAAAGGACCAAACTAAACTAAAATCTATTCCGATTATGACAAAGTTGTACATTGAAGACATCTGGATTTGCACAATTATTTTTAAAATTCTGAAATAACTTCTCCTTGGAAAGTTTTGTCTTTCACTGAAAGTTATTGACTGGACTGATGGAAATGGATATAGATTGATTAGAAATTCTGTAATTGAGTCTAGTATCAGTCACTTTGTTTTGCATTCTAATAGAAACTTTGAATCTCTCTCTTCATCTTTTTTGACTTGACCCCTGAGAGTCAGCTTGGAACAAGTAAATTATTATAACAATCAAGACACTGCTAGACTGCAGGGATTTTAGCTCAACGGCAGTAAAAGTCAACCATTAATCACTCCTGCAATGCACAACATACCTAAGGTGCAGCAATTGTTTTTTTACTCTTTTTAAAATATGTTTCAAAATTTCTAAATTGCAGATGACATTTTATAATGTGCAACTAGATCTGCACTTACTTTCTGGGCTGATTCCAGTTACTGAAAGCTGCATTTTGAAGTTCACTTTCTTCTCCCTCCCCCTCTTCACGTTCTGGAAGCTCTGGGAGTTCCCTGATGATAAACAGGAACATGCAATTAATTTCTAAAATATCCATATAAACACTAGATTTTTCTGAATAATTTAATATATTGAGTCAGTATCAGAATTTGTACACCCGATTCATGCAGGGAACTTTCTTTCCTGATGTCTTTTAGAATACATAAGATGTTCAGGAATTCCCTGGCCACTTTTTATCAGCAATGAATTTTCTATCCACAACACAGAATAAAAACTGTAATTTGGAACGAGAACCAAATGAAAGCTAAAGTTAATTTATAGTTTTCAAAATGGAAGAAATTACAACAGCAGAACTCAACTAAACTTACTGTTTTTGGAGCTGAATTGTAAAAAAACCAATTATTCATCACTTGGAAATTCTGGATTGTAACTGCAATTAATTTTTGAAACTCAGAGAAAAGAATGGCATAATTTATTCTTCCCAGTTATGTTCTGGAAAAACCATCAATACCGAAGTCTTATGTTGGAAGCACTTCAGTATTTGTGCAATGCATAAATCCAATTGCATGATATTTAAGAGAAATTTAGAATGAGAAAGAATTCAATCTTTTTTGACAGATTAAACAGCCTTGTAAAAACGCTGAAAATTTTGCTATTCAAAGCAAAAACTGTATTTTTAACAGCTTGCTATTGTAGTGGCTGCTGGTCTGAAGAAAATCATCCATCTTTTATCTCTTCTAAAATAAAACTTATTTTCCCAAAATGTGCAAGGTGTATGGAAAGAGTTACATTTGAGAGCTATTTGGGAGAAAGCTGTAAGCCTTTCAACTTACCTGGCAATATGTGAAGGAAAAAGTTCAAGTGGCACAGCTCCCTCTGTCTGTTGTCCCAAACTGGCCCTGTACTCGTCTAAATTTTCTGCTGGCACATACGTAATACTGCAATAAAATGAGACATGATTAAACTAGCATAAGGAATGCCAGTCCTCCCTTTAGTGGGTGTGGTATGGATGAAGAAGCCACTCAAGCCTACTTTGTTGACTTCAAAGCCACAGTGCTGGTATGTTGGGAATAAGCACTTACACAAATCCTTTGCAACTTTGCAACAAGTACACATTTATAGTCAAATTAGGTAGCTGAACAGCACATAATTTTTTTGTAATTAAAGTAAATGGTGCTTCAACAGTGACAGAAATGTAACAAGGGACAATCTAGCTTCATTCAAAACTCAGACTCCTCATGCAAAGACAAACACTGAAGGATCTGTAAGGTTTGAGGCACCATTACCACCCTCAATGACTGCCAAAATGTTTCTGAAAGTTGGCCTATAGGAGGTTTTGTGCTTTTCTGGGTGGTTTTGTACTTATTTTAGATTTCTATGCTTTTAATGAAGAATACTTCATGGGTTTAGACATAAAAATGTGTTACAGCACACCACCTATGCCACAGGGACCAATCCCCTGGTCAACTCCTTCCTCCAGGCCTTCATGCACTTCCAACCAGTTTAGGACAGTGCGACAGCAGTGTTTCATCAGCCAAATGATGTGCAGACTCCACTTGATGTTTGAAAGCCAGAAACAGAAATGGCCCAATAGACTGGGAAGAGTGAAACAAGAGGGGAAAAAAGATTAAGGCCTGAAGAATATTCCTTGAAAAGATTCCATCTGGGAGGCAAACGGACACCACATTATGTACCATGATATACACAGGGCTACTTAGATAGCCCTCCTTTAACAATGCTTTGTCTTCTTAAAAATCTACAGCTTAGCTGTCAGACTTAAGTACAGCAACAAGTAAGGCTGATGAAAAAAGGACAGAAAAATAATTCTGTCTTGCCATACATAACATTGCTAAAAGAAAAAATAACATATTTCCCCATGAAGAGACAGGGCTAAAGAAAAAAATAAAAGATCTTGGCCACTTCATAAGGATATGTAAGCTGCTGGGACGAGACTTTAAAGTCTGAGGCTTTTACATGGAGCCTTCCCTTGTCCATAATTTCTGACTGATGTCCTCTTTGTCATACCCTGTTTACCACTGATTCCCTCTCTCCATAGTTTTCTGCTGAATACATCAAGCATCAGAAGAAATGCAAATAATCTTTTATACAATTAATGCTATCATTCTAAAACACGCTACCAAAAATTATTGTAAGGATCACCTTAATGTGTCCATCTGTGTGTGTCCAAGCACATCTCCTCTCACATCTACCACATCTAGAAAAGTGCAAAAAGTATGAAGATGTCTAGGGTGCTAAATGGAAGTTAACTTACTAGTTCTTTTAATGGAAATTTCTAAAACTGTATTATCTAAATCCATACCCATTCTAAAATCATCATTATCAACAACTTTACCTCTTCCTTAAATCTCCCTGTTCTGTATTGGCCTTTTTTCAAACACGTAAGAGTTACTCCACTTGACACAACATATTTTCCTTTGGGAGAGATGAGAAGTTAAAATACACTTGGAAACAAACTCTCAGCACAATGTCACTATCCCTTATCTGCCTTTCCTGAGGGTGTTCTAGCACTGGGAAATGCTAAAGCAAAAAGAAAGAGAGAAAAGAATTTTGGAAAATAATGACTACTATTTCTCAGCCATCTCCAACTCCAAGTGTGTTGAGCTATAGCAAAGTACTAGTATTATGATCACAAAATGCTCATGAGTCAAATGCTGATGTAGCAGCTTCAGCCAACAGGCCCATAAGAATACCTTGGCTCTACAAAACCTGTAAGACCTGCTAGTTACATTTCAATGTAAGAAAATGTAACATGCATTCAGTAATAATCATCACTTACAAAAGTAAGTAGGAAATAATGTAGTTTTCCCTTGAGAGAAAGATACAGTAAAGAAACCAGAACTTTTGGCTAGAAAGCCTGGACAATCTCATTTATTCTAAACTGAAGCTTGGAAGCTATGGTCCAAAGTGTGGAAAGGAGAATGGCACACCCCATAAAGGAAACACATTATCCCAGATTCAGCCTGAATGTATACATCAGACTGTACCTCTGATAGTAGTGTCCAGCATGTATCAACTCTTGTCTAGTCCTTTTCTGCAAGGAGCACAAGGCAAATAATTATGCAGAGTGCCAAGGTCCAAGGGCAGTAGTAATCCTTACCTTATACATGAGCACTTGAGATCAGCTCATCTCAAGGGGGGAGGCAAACCATATGCACTCCAACTTCTGGGACACTCTGTTGTGTTTTGTTTTATGATTAAATAAATGACATTGTGCTGAATCATTAAAAACGTATGAACTAAAAGGATGCTCTCAAAGAGTTTCAAATGCTACTTAGAAACATCTCTGAAAAGCTGCCTTAGCTTTCCCTTCTGTTTACAGCACTGGAACTATAAAGAAAAGAGGTTTGTTTTACCATTTTAAAAAAATGCATCTAAAATTGAGCAACTGAATTACCTAACTGATTTCCACAGCTGGAATAAAATTTAAATAATCTCACTGGGAGCTGATACATTTTAGCTCTTTGGAAAAATACATTATTTCTATTCTAGTGCTTAACTACAGTTCTAATAGCCAAATTTAAAGCACTTAAAAGAACGTTTAGTATATTTTTAACTGTTCATTCTTATCTACATATTCATTTTTATCTAGCTTTCTGTAATGCTTCAGTTGCTTCACAAATTTAAACCAGAACACTTGCATTTTGCAAAAAAAAAAAAAAAAAAACATACAAAAGAAAATCAAATTAATCAAATTACAGCGATCCAATACATTAAGTTATATTCTGTGTGGAGTTTGCCTTTGTATCTTGCTCATGATTTCCAAAGTCCAGTTAACTGCCAAGATTTCCCTAACTGCTCTTATTACCTGTATTACTGATGCGACTGTTCTACTCTCTGTGTTCTGCATGTTTTTATTGAAATGAAAGAGTAATTTCCCTGCTTAGTGCTCATTGTGAGACACCCCACAGTTATCAAATCCATCACTTGCTGGATTGCTGCTGGAGTTCCCTCAGAGGTCAAAGAGAGGTCTGAAGAGATTCAGCATCATCCTGTCCAGCTCAGGCTGTGGCTGGGATGATGAGGGGCATAGACCAAGAAGTACTTTTGGCTCCTCTGACCAACCCTGATGAACTTTGTGCTGTAAAGCAGAAATAAAACCCACCAAGGCAACTGAATAGTTGATCTGCAAAACAGACTGGTAATCATCGTGATATAGCTACAGAGAAGACAGTAAGAGAAACAAGAAAGCAGACATGAAGACAGAGAAACAAAATAAATAAATGACTGCTCCACTTCTGTGTCATATTTCTTCACTGCAAGAGAAATTAAAGTTCAACAATTTCAAAGGAAAATATATGCATGGTTTAACCATCTTCCTCTCTTTTGTAGATGTACAGCTCGGAAGAGAAGTGTTCTGGTTTTCTTTCTTGAGAGCTATCATCACTTCTCTTACCCCCAGAGATATGCACTAGCAACTAAAGCAGTGACAATGGAAACACCAATGGTTGTACATATGAAAATATCTTGTAAACACAACACTGCATGCAGTACAGAGGAACATTTATCACATGCTTGACTGAACAGCCACACAAAATCTTAAAACACCAACAAATAAATTACAAAGTATGGAAAATGCTCAGGACAAATTACTGTAATTAACATTTAAGGTTCAATTTGAACCTTTGCATACATGAAGAAAGTAAAATGTAAGTGCCACAGAAAATATGACACTGAGATTAATCCAGATATCAGTACATAGCACTCATGTCAATTCTAGAAGTGAACCTTGTACACATACACACAACATGCACACGTGCTCTGAGCACATATTGGGTGGCTGTCATAGGTGAAATTTAAAAATATTAACAATAATTTTTTTAGAATACAGGTCTTTTCATTCCAGGCTTAGAATGTGTGTTTCAATCTTCAAGTTTAAAGCCATATATAAATATATAGTACAATTATACACACACAGTTGTATCTTTTTTAATGAAAAAAAAAATACATATACACATACACATGTGCAGCCACAGGTGCATGCACACACAAACATACATAAGAAGAAAGAATATGTACCTATATCTGGATATATCCCTGACATTACTACTGATGTCATAAAAGCATGGAATGATTTTACAGACAAGTTGCAACACAGAGCCATAATGAATTTCTGAATTGCCAATACTCACACATAACAGAGGGCCTGATCATCAGCAGGTGCTGGAGAAGATCTAGAATGTGAAGCATATGATGCAGCATCTTTTTACAAAGGTGTTAATTAATATCAATCTCATGCTGAATGTGAGAGGCATACTTATGTATGTAGAAGTGTGAGCTGGGCTTTTTTTTCCTTCCTTTCCTTTTTTTTTGCCCTGTTCCACCTCCATTTCATCTACATCTAACCCAGAAAACATGTGCTCTTCATTATTGTCTATAGGAGTGATTATTAGGAGCCATGGAAAATGGAATTGCAATCTCTTTAATTTCTTGATCAGGAATTCATCCCTCTGTTTAGTCAGGTGAATTCTAATTCAGTTTTATAATTATCTGACAGGTGTTACAAGCAGCTGCTGCTGAGCACAAGACACTGGCTTTATTACAGAAATAAAAGACCTCCTTGCAAGGTAGAGTGAGAAGTGAAACAGAATGCATTCAGTAAGGCCACACACCCAGTTTTCTACAAACAGAGGAGAAAAAATTTAAATACACAACTCTGAAACTCAGACTGCTGGTTCTTGAACTATTCAAAATCAAATACCCTTTAACAGAATTAAAGAATGCTTTTACATGGCCAGTAAGAATGGGTTTGTGTTTTCTCTGCAAATACTATTTGCTACTGTTTGAAATATAGCTTTGGAAGCAAAATACATCTGCTTAATCACTTTTTAGCGGCACTCTGCTACCCCAAAAAAGCTCAGTCTAAAAGTTAAGGGGTAAATTTTGCAGTAAGGACTAAGAGGGATGCTATCTGGATGCATACCCTTGTTTTCCAAGGAAGACATCAAAGAGATTCAACTTAAATCTTTGAAATAATGGTACTTAAATAAAAAATGCTGCAAGGTGATGCACCACATTAGCCCCAAACTGACAAAAATGGTAGAGGAACAGGGAAGGGGTGTGTATCTTTCTCAGCAAATACGAAGAAGTATCTTAACATGAAGCTTCTCATATCCAAATTTCTGATTTGGGGTTTTATCTGCATGTTTGTATCATATTTTTCTGGGATATTGAGCTGCTCCCTCAAGTTAAAAATTAAAGAGAAGTTTGATTACACTGAAGTTTCATAGCAAAACTATGTAGTCCCAAAAAATACTGTTATTTTTCTTGCAAGACTCCTTTGGAAGCTACCGAAGGATATGCTTCCGTTTCTAAAATGGAGAAGCTAGCTTCATTTTAAAACTTGTCATAGGAATGAAACAAAGAACAGAAATACAAAACAAAAGACAAAAATTTTGAGTAAGAATGTGAATAACAACTGCCCCTTTTCTGAAATATCTTTTAGAAATAGGATGCATTTTTCTCTGGAAAATCTGAATATCCACACCTAAGGCAAGATTTTAGTATTTCTAACCTAACTGTAAAAGAGTAAGACTACAAAATAAAACTTGTAGTCACACAGAATAAAATACAGCAGCTATAAAAAGGTAAGTACAAATAATGAACACATCTATATTTGATCACAAACTATAGCACTAAAAAAAGACACCTCATAGAAGAATGGTGCTGCAGCATTTGTGTCTCTAAGCAGATATATACACACACATGCACATACAACCGATTTCAATCATGACAGTTGGCAAGCTGCAGTTTGGAAGCCTACAGTAATAACCTATGTCACACTTTATCAAAACTGACTCGCTTATATTCCTGACAGCATTAACAGTAATTTAATTCATTATATGAGCATATTCCTTTATTAAAATAAGCTTACATTAAATCATAATCTTAAATGCATGACAGCTATGGGGCAGGCAAGTAAACCTAGTGAAAGTACTTTACCCATTAGCTCCCAAAATACTAGGTTTCTTGCAAGCTAGACTGCTTCTAGGAGAGTGTGGAATGCCCTACTGTCCATTCTGAACTCAGCTCTAACCACAGTTACCCATAACCACACTGGGACTGAACTGATTCTTTCAAGGCCACCCTCTCAAATAAGTAGAGCCTTCTATTACCAACAACTCCATTAATCCATTTCCATATCTGGCCCACTCAATGTTACCGCAGGATAAACAGAGAAAACAGCCACTAGGTTTTGAAGCTGTAAACCCAGCATCAGTGTGTCTACACTTCCACCCACATCTTCAGGAATAGCCTTATTTCCAGATGGTGCTTGTGGGCAAAGTTAATTCCACAACCACAGCAACTAGAAAGAATTGTACTTTAAAGCAGTTAAAATGTTGTAAATTGTGTAAACTTGAGAAGAAGAAATTTTCTCAAGTAGGTTTCTCAAAACTTCTATTTATTTTTGGAAATTTAAAACTACTACTACTAAGAACAGATAGTTATACACAAGAGCAACATCTCACTCATATGTACTAAGAAAAAATTGGAAGTGACTACAAAAAACAGTGTGTTTCTACTGCTTGTCATAGATATACTGAAATGTTTTTCTGCATTAACATCATATTTCATACTTTCTATCCGGCACCCATTAAAAGAACTAAATAAAATTACTTGTGCAATGTCCGGGACAGTCCACCTTCAAGAACCACAAACATCTTGAGAAAATTGTAAAAGAGTCGCCCTATGAATGCAAAATTCTGTCCAATCCTATTCTTTCAATAAAACTAGGCAGGGCAGTAGTAATGATGATACTCATGAAAGTGATTTCTAAGAATATCTGAAGCCTCTCACACAAGTGATCTTGTCTTTGAAATCCATGGAAATGTAATCTGAAGGTGAATTATCCACCTCATGCTGCAACTTAAAGGTAAATTGATGTGTAATAACAGCATTTTCATTTTAAATACCTGTATGGACAAAAAAAAATTTATTATCAGATTTTTCCTGCCATAATTCATTATCTAGTTTTACCTACTTTATGTCTGGTCCAATGAGTGAATGTCGTCTCAGCATAGCCCGGGCTTGTGCATTGGTTAAGTTAGTGGTTGACTCTTCATTAATGGACAGGATGCAGTCCCCCACACCAATCCGTCCGTCACGACTTATTGAGCCTCCATGGATAACACTGCGAACTATCATTCCCAAACCATCTTTATTTGAACTTACTGTCATCCCTATAGTAAAAACACATGGAACAGTTAATGTCTTTGAGCCACAGCTCTGGGTACCAAGATAAAGAAATGTAAGCTGGAACACAGGGGAAGGAAAAGTCAGCCAACCTGCCAGTATCACCAAGCGTATAAATGTTGCTCTTACTCTCCCCGTTTGAGACAGCAATTACACATCACAATCATAGTAACTTTACCTTGTTGTCATTTCACATACTTAGGTCAATACAAGAAAAATTAAGACCGAAGAATATTTAAGCAAAGCGTAAGAAAAATAATGAATTTACTTAAAAACTATCTAAAATCACCACTATTCTAATGGTTCACTGAATTTATACACATTCCACTTTTGTTTATGACAACACTCTTTGGAAAGAAAGTGAAATGATTAAATGGGTAATTAATAGGTCAAAAGCAAATATATACTCATTTTCAATAGAAAGCATGAATCAGATCCCAGTGAGATGGTGAGACAGCTTGCCTTCCCACTCTCCTAGATGGGCCATAGCTTAGACCCAGAAGAGCATCCTGACTTCTGCCAAAGTCTGTGTATTGCTAATGGATACAGTCCAATAGTTTAGTTAAATCAGTATCCTACTGTGGCACAGAAGGATACTGCTTCTTAATATTCTCTAGTTTCTTTCCAGTAATGGGAAATAAGACAGGTATGCTCTTCGTCCCTCCTCTCCCATGGGGAATCTATAGGGACTAACTTATGATGGCCTTCATTTGTCACTGTGACTCTTCTTACACACGAGTTGTCACTGTTATCTTCAGGCAGTTGGTGCTCATGAAACAGACCCTAGTAACAGTTTCAAGAAAAGCTTAGTTCTTCACTAAGGCAGTGGGAAGTGCAGGGCTGGAACCTTGAATTCCACCCAATGAATTTCCACTATCTTAATACTGCTTAATAAAAACCTTTATTTTTCTGAGATGTGGTTTGAAATTCCGAACCTCACCTTGCTGTTTGGTTAAGATAGTAACAGACATTACTGAGGGTAATGTAATAGCACTTTTGAAAAACATCACACATACAACAGACTCCCTTCTCCTTTTCCTATGCTAACATCATCATTACAGATCCACAAGGCTGATGTCACACTTTGAACACCTACATTTTTAGGTTAAAAAAGCAAATGCCACAGTAAAGTTGCCAAATTTTCTGCAGGACAGTCATATGTCAGCTCTTCTGCATTTGAGTGCTTCTCATTGTTTAAAAAAATCATAGTCAAAATGTTAGAGCTCCAGCAGTGGCTGGCATTAAAGAGCTGCTTCAAACTATGGGTGACATCATTTAAAAGAAAAAAAGAAGTGCCAGCTCTTAACCCTCAACTATTTAATTTATGCAGCTCCAGCTGTCAACATCATTCATAGTTCTTGAGCTTTTTTAAAAATGAATGGTAAAAAGCAGTGCAGTCATGGGTGTAAACTGGTCATTGTGTCCAGGCTGCTTCCCAGGCCAGAGCACACTCGGACTAGAAGAAAAATGCTACAGTCAAAAGCCAGAAAAAAAGAAACTTTCACATTTGTATTTTGTACATATCAAGACCAGTGTATTTTTTCTGCATAAAATGTCTGCCAATCTGGACCCTGCCCCAAGTATTTTCATGCCATATTATGCTGGACATGAAATTTGCTTTGATGTCCACTGCACTTAAAATACTCATACACATAAAATGAAAACCTACTCCACTGAATGAAGAGTTTATTTCAAAGAAAACGTTTTTTACAAAACCAAGATGCTTTGAAATGCACTTCGACCTGCAGTTTATACAGCCTGGCAATGAGGCCAGTAAAGGTAGCACTTAACCAAGCCCCTCATAAGATAAACCTTATACCCATATCAGCCTTTTCTACATGTTTCTATTTTTCAGACCCCGATTTTAAACCAGATCCGTTTTGAAGGATGGCTGTTTCATGAAAGTGGTACGTGGCAGACTGAGTATCCAGTCATCAGAATGTAGTTTATTCCAGGTATAGATGCCCATTGAAACACAGCATCACAGCTGTAAAAAAGTGGCACCCACCTCTGCACAGCAAGGAAGTCCTGACTTGGGACTATTTTTAAACGTCCAGTTCTGTGGACAACCCATGTTAAAGCTTTTGAGGAGTTACTGCTACTAGCCAGCACCCACACAAAGTCCTGCCCTACCAATCCCAGAGAGTCTTCAAGATTATGGAGTTGGCTGAAAGAAACAGCGCCAGGAACCTAAATCAAACCAAATGAATATGCAAGCCATGAAGAGGCAGGCTGCATCACTGCTTTCAACACAAAGCCTTCCTGGCATGGGCTCTGGGAGGGTTTTATTCTTGTTCTCCCCCTCACACTGCCCAGGGCCACACCTGAGAGAAGGATAGGACAATGAAAAACATTATCATCTGTTGTTTGCGCTCACTCCAATATGTGTTTCTAGTCAGAATGCTCAGGAAGTTGCAGAATGCAGATATCTAAAAACTTTGAACTCTATTATAAAATGATAATATTAAAAATACGACCTATTAAATTTATCAATGACATCAATGACAGAAACATTGAGGCACTTTGGATTCAAGTACAAATTTGAGGCAAGGAAGTAAGCAGCTTGTTTAGCCCATTTTGACCATCCTCAGGAAGCAAGACCATTTTGTGTTTACAAATATTTGAAAGTCTCATCTGCAGGTCTTTGACCATAGTGCTCTTCTACAGCATTCTTTGGCTGTATCATGTTTTTTCACTATTATTAGTACATCAAAAAGCAGTGCATTAAAATTGTTCTGTTAACATTTAGGAATGACTAAACTCCTTTATGGGAAAACAAATTCTCAGTGAGACTGCACATTTCACTTTTGTGTTCACAGTGACAGCAAATGGATCCAGTGCCATTACATTCAAACAGGACAAGACCAGCAAAGAATGAATATCCTGTTCCCAATAAATGGAAAATATTTAGTTTTTACAAATATAACAGGGAACATACAAGGGAAACTAACAGCCATATTCCTGAAGAGTTTACAAAAAAAGTTCACTAACTTACCTAGGCTTGAATTGCCTTTTGCAATAGTGATAGTCTTCTCATACATGTTTTTGACTGTATTTGGGAGTGTGGAATTTCCCTCCAAAGACACTGGGCATCTCTTTTCCATTAAAAGCAATTGATCCTAATGTAAGGGAAACAAGTTCAGATTACCAAGATAAAAATATGATTGGTCATACTGATCTCAACTACTTTTGCCTTACACAAAAGCCATGCACATAATTAAGTCAGATTCCTTATACAGACATTGGAAAAGTCAGTTCATCAAAGACCAAATGAATATCATGATTTCTGTTTTCATTCACGCAATATACCAAATCTATCACAGAGCATGATTTTAATTTAGGGACATCAAAATTAGTAGAAAGACTGGAAGGGCTTCAGATTCATACACTACAGATGTCTGACAATTTGCCAGTACTAAAGTAACAAATCTTCTAAGAAATTACAGCTCTTTTAAGCATTTCTTAATAAATCGCTGAATTGAATAAATAAGAAACACATGTCACAGCGACTGTCATATAAAGGAAAATTATGTTTGCTCACTGCAGCATCATAGGTCAGTTTGCAAGCTGAACTGCACAGGCTCTCAAGAACACCATGAGTGCAAGACATTCCCACCACCCCCTTTGGCTTCCTAGGCCCGATTCCAGCTGTGCGCCTTGCACTCATGCCCCTGTGAAGGCCAACACGGGCTAAGAAAACTCCCCTGTCCTGCTCAAGGGGTACACTCTGGTCCAGCAGTATCTAATGATGCAAGGCCTGAGAAGACTTGGATATACCCTGTATTGCCAGCTTCTGAGAAAATACTATCTTGATGACATAAATTATGTCCTGTTTTGGAAAGGTCTGTATCCTAAAATTTGATGTGAGCTAACACATCAACAACCAAAGAAAAACACACAGCTATTGGCCTGCGACAATTTCTGCAGGAAATTCTTCAGTGTAATTACAGGCTTCCTGTATGTTTTTCTTTAATTATTTTTTTTAAAAAAGAAAGGCAAATAACTTTACTTTTTCATTGTGATCAAGCTGTGTGGTAGTAGCAAGGCTTGTATTTAGTACAATTGCTGATGCCGTCTGAGATCCAGTCCATGCTGCTGTATTTTCACTTTCATTTTGGTTGATATCTGAAACCTCCAGAGTCAGAAGATCTGTTTTAGTAAAATCACTTCCAGTTTCCACGCTACTGTCCACTATAGACTTTTCATCTCTCGGTGTCTGATTCAGATTCATGTTGTACAGATTCTTCTCAGATAGACGGAAATCAGTTGCAGCATTTGGGCATTCCTCGCCAACAGACTGTTCAAAACAGGAGACAACGAACAATCACCATTCATTTGTAGTATAATTCAAAACTATATTTCATGCTAAAACCTTAAACAAAAACTAATCTCACAGAATTTAAACACACTGCTGTTAGATCAGCAAAATCAACCTCATCTGCTGCTCCCCAGAAGCAATCATTCTACTATAAAATAAACTTGATTTGTTACACAATTTCTTCTGCCTTATAATACTAGAAATCAGTAAACTAAGTTACTAACTTGAATAACTCCAGAAAGTTTTTAAAATTCAAGCATCCAGTTGTTTTTCCCAGGTGAAAGAACTTTGCAAGACTAATGTCTTTACTTTCAGCACACTTACCAAGCAAAGAGGAATTTCAAGCAGCTCAGACAATAAGAACGCATTGTTATCACCCATTTAACTGATCAGAAACATATTAAGATTTCTCTTCCTCAGAAAGAATGACAAGTAAAAACCTGGTCAAGCCTCAGCAAAAGGTGAATATGGGGGATTTGAAGTGTGACAACAATGAAATACAATAATACAATTATAAAAGCTTAACAATTAATAATTATTGCAAAGCTACCAATTATGCCTGCATTAGTAGGACTAAGTTCTCTACATATTTGTTTAGACTTCCAGGATTCTGAGGCCCCGCCTTTGAAATGTGTCAAGCTATTTCAATAATCACAACATTCTGGAAAAGAAAAAAACTTCAAATATTCTCTACCTGACCTTTTAAAATCAGTTATTTTAAAAACATGTAGGCCATTACATTTTAAAATGATATATCGAGGACTTATAAGTTTAAGACTTAGAGGCTCTCTATCAATAATAGGGATTTTTTTCTGAAACGCAGTAAAAGAACTCAAAATCAACTACCGCTATTCTGTCTTAGTTGTTATCCACTATTAATTGTTCTACTGCTTCTCCAAAAAGCTGGGGAGACATGTTTCCCAGCATTTGGGGATATTTTGCAACATTTTGTCTCATGAGCCTTAGAACTAATTTTTGTCAACTTTCATGAAGTGCATACATGCTTGTTCTGTCCCCAGACAAGAATCAAAAAAAGCTTTACCAATAAATAAGTGGTTTAAGTAACAGCTGAGAAGATAATTGAGCAGAGCCTAAATACAACTAATCTGTATGACATAATCAATGACATAATTTCCTACCTTTTTGAGAACAGAACACGATTCTATAATCTATTTAAATTATTTTATAAGGTTCTAAATACAGGGAAATCTACTTTTAAGTCTGTTTTGTACCCATTTCTAGATCAGTGAAAACAAGCATCAAATCATACTCAACATTTATTTCATATGCCATATACACGTACTAATAATTGCATCATATACTCATTTTTATTTTTGTTTCACTTAAAGAAAAGCCAGTGTTGTGATTTATTAGGACAAACTCAATTCCAGGAATTTGTAACTATAGTAGTATGTGGTCTCACTAGAGTATCTGCATTATTTCAAGCATGTTTTTCAACACCTATTTTAAATTTGACACCAAAGTGACATTCAGAACCTACCAACTGCCCTGTAGCCAGAAAAAACTAAAATATCTCTGCATTCATCACAGCATCAAATGGTGCTATTTTAATTTTTATTGCATTTCTCTTGCTTCAAAAGTCTTAATGAATGGATAGATTTTCCCACTACATTTGCTTTTTAAATCATGAATAGGTTACTTGATAAAAACGTAATACTCACTTCATACTGGTGTACAGAGATGAACACTGAAAAGTCAAGACCATGGTACTTTAAAAGAGTATGTAAACCAAAGCTATTTTTAAATCAATATTGAAAATAACCACTTTCTAGAGCCTCAGTGTGATAGATAGAATGTAAATCCAGTCTCTATCTCAGAAAATACTCCTAAGCATGTAAAATGCATAATCCAGTTAAGTAACAATTACAGAATTAAACAGTGCAAGCTGTCCCACTGGCACAGCAGAGATGTGCTCCTCTGTGAATTACGAGAAACCATTAGAAAATGAATCTATCTTTCTAACCAGCACCAACATATTCCAGAAACGTTAATAGGAGGTACTGCAGCTCAGGGGCAGCGGAAAAAGCAGCAGCTACTCTATTCAAGACCATGGATTGTAAACCCAGTGGTTTTCAATGAAGACTGCTAGGAGAATAGAATTGGAAAGCTCTAGGATAGTGAAATAAATCTAAAGATTTAAAAGAAAAAAGAACATGAAAAACCATGGAAAGAAAGAAAACACAACCAGGTCGTTATGGGTTTGTGACCAAGAAACAAAAGACTACTGATCTTAATATTCTTAAATAAATCTTCATTTTTTGCTTTATATAAAAATTATCAGCAGAGTTTTGATATATACGGATTTATTTTTAATTACAGCATTAATATGAAAATTTCATTCAAAACCACAGAAACATACTAATCATGAAGCATAAAAGCAAAAATCAGGATGAACATTTACTCTTGCTTTCATACTAAAATCTAGAGCAACAGAAAAAATTTGTGTTACCACTCTTTACTATGCTCTGAATGACTATTTTATTTTTCTAGGAGACTGCTCACCATACCCTGGCTAAATCATGCTTTACCCTAGCAAAAAGCCAAGCTCTGTGCCTTCTATCTGCCTCTCCCTTTAAGAAAGACATCTGAAAGACATCAGCACTACTCTAAGCAAAATTTTACCAATAGCATTTTGAACCAGGATGACACAGATTTATATCTGATAATACAGCCTACTCACAGTTAAAATCAAACTTTGCCATCAATAAAAACACCCTTGATTTTACCTTTGGAGTTGGTAATGGAAGCGAGAAGCCGTCGTTCACCTCACCGCTACAGGCACTGTCATGCAGAGCTGTTGCTGAATCGTGGAAGACGTCTCTCTCTAGAGAATACTGTGATTCAAAGGTGGACTCATCCGCTAGATCTGCCTCGCCAGAGTCCACCTAACAACAAAACCAATTCAATCAGCCAGGCTGCTGCCATCACACCACATAAGCCCCAAACACATGCACACTAGCCACTACGTACTGACACTTTTCTTCTTTTTCATTCCATGTTTTAGACTGAAATTACATTTGCACAGTACAGTAGGAAAATTTTCTGCTTCCAGTAAACCTGTATTGCTACTTCTTCACAGGTTGCAAAGAATATTTGAAGTAAAGCCAAGAGCCTGAACCAGAGTAAATTGCGGGGCTGAGGCATGCTCATAACTATTAATAGAAGTACAAAGTATTGAGAAGATTCTGCTGTACTGCTTGATGCCTGTATTTTGCTTTCTTTGGGGCTTTTCTTTTCTTTGTCATTTTCTTTTCCGAAAACTAGCACAGAAAAAAAATTAGCTTCACTTGGTGCCATATGTCAAGAATGCTCCCTTGACCCCTTGACTTAATTTCTTAGGCTTAGTTATTTTTATACTCTTTTAAAAACAATCTGGAAACTGCAGTGCTTTACAGTACATTTGTATGAAAAATTATTACTTTTTTTTTAATAGATTTTAAATTATTTTGCTTTTGACAACAAGATTACTATGGGCATTCATGTATTTCTATTTCTCTTACATGAGAAATAAAATTTAATTTAAATTTAATTAATTTTAAATTTAATAATAAAATTAATAACATTTTAATTTAAGAGAGCTTCAGACATTGATCTGGGTAGGTTTTTTGCCTTTTTTTAAAACGAAATATATTTTTTTCCATTACTCCTTATTTTGAATATTTTCTTCTAAAGAGTAAAATAAAGCCCTAAAACCCCTAATTTATGGTGCGTATCATAAACTTGTATGAAGCAGATGAGTGCACCCATCTGCAGAGAAGGGATCTAACTTGTTTTTCAGCCCTGTGGTTAATCATATCATGAATCCATTACAGCAGTTGTAACAATCTGCAGTAATTCAACACATTGATTCCTTTTCAGGGTAAAAAGGATTATTTTTTAAATAATTTCAAGCCTATAGACTTAAATGCTAATCCAAACTGCTTCTTCGCTGTAACTCACTCTCAGCTCATCTTCTTGAAAATGCATATTTGTTTTACCAAAGCTATGCCCTAAATAAAATATTGTGAAAATTCAGGATATATCTATAAAATCTGAGTTCAGATCTGTCTATGAAAACCAGTATCTCATATGTGCACCCTCAAAACATATCTTCAGCTGGGTGACTGCACATTTAGTTTCCTATTTTGCACATTTAATTAGACAACTGACAAACGATTGACAATTTTATTATGTCATGTGTTTTCATTACTTTTTTTCACAAGTTTCTTTTAATAGGAACCACAGATGGAAACCAAATTTTTTAGATAGTTTTAATCTGATCATTTTATCACATCTTTAATTAAAGGTTATTTAGAATATAAAACTCGTGCTTCTTCTCAATGAAAGGAGCAAGACAAATACTATTACCTAACTGCTAAAGGTAACAAACTGAAGAATTAAAAACATGCAGTCTTGTTTAAAGGCAAGTTAAGCCAGCTTGTCACCCGCAAATCTGAAAAAAACCAAAAAACCTGCTGGAAGCAGTAACGCAGAGATTATTACCTAGACAGGATCTATTTCAGGTTTTTGTTGAATTTTCTCTAATGAACAAAGTTCTGGTGTTTAGAAGCTACTCTCCTGCCCAAGATCACAGAAAATGAGGGCCTAATAATTTCAACATCAGACTCAGACCAGAACAAACAACCATGAGAATACACATTTGGAATACATACATACATACATGTGTATTCTTTGTTTTTTTCTGGTTTTATGTTTTCTTTTTTTGTTGTTGCTGTTTTTTGTTGTTTGGGTGGTTTTTGTTTTGTTTTTGGTTTTTTTTTTTTTTTTTTGTTTGGGTTTTTTTTTTTTTTTTTTGTTTTTGTGGGAGGAGGCGTTGGGGGATTTTTTTCTTTTTTGTAGTGCCCTAGTTCCTGTGTCTTTTTTAATCAGAGTTCTTATTGGTAACTTCTGTGCTATGTAAGGTGCTGAATGCTCAAGTAAGCTGCATTGTTTGTACAGGTGAACACCTTTTGACCTTGTAAATCTTATAATCACTGATTGGTGCTGAAGGCTGAAGAATATTATTAGGTGGAAGTATTTGCAGCTTTTGAAGACAGACAGTGTTCCTTGTAAGGCTGGATTACTTGCAAAAAGGGAATATCATAAAATTTCCACAGTGAAGTGATGCATTATGATACACAGAAAAATAAGCACATGAACATTAATCTAAAAAAGTGAGATTTCCAAAGAACTGCTCAGTGCATGCAAGGACAAGTGGATAGCCATGCACTTCTGAAAACATCAGCAAAATACTTTTTTTTTTCTTAGCAATTAACATATCATAGGCCAGATTCACAGCTCATGCAAAAAAGCTGTAATCTCTAGATGTCAGTTTCTACAAAGTCAGAATCCACCCCACCTACAGTGGATGAGTAATGTGGAGACAGCAAACACCAAAAAATAAGCATGGACAGTGACAAGGCAACTCCTTTCACTACAAAATGCGTAGACTGAAGAGATCTGTGGTAAGTTGGGCCACTAACCAGAGCCAGCTCAGCATGGAAGAGGGCTGCATCAGCTGGCCCCTCCTCAAGTGACTGGGCAGTGTAGAAAAAGCAATCTTCCTTAGCAGAGACATAGCCCTCCTCAGGTGAAAGCTGCAGAAAGAACGAAGCTCTGAGTCGGATGAGTGGCCTGGACACAGCAGGTGCAGAGTGCATTCTGCAAGGGGGGCAGGGGGCTGTTTAGAAAGGCAAATGGATTCCAAATGCAGCAAAGAGATAATTTCAATCACAGTCACAGTATTCAGTGGGTAAAGAGACAATTTCTTTTTTCAAATTTACCTGAATTGATTCAGCTTCACACCTCATTCTGAAACCCCAAATAATGAATAAGCCCTGTCTAGGTATACCACAAAGCTCACACTAAAGTCTAGGTTCATTTTCAATTTCTGGTCTTAATAAAGATATACTAAAACTGCCACTGAACCTGCCAACAGAGAAAGAGCCTAACAGCAGAGGTCTTTATAATCTTGCTAGCCACAGAGCAATCCTGCTTGCAGGCAGGAAGACTTCTTCTACTCTCTGTGTTTTATGATGGTATCTGTCAGCCTCTAGAGGAAAAAACATAATTCTGACTATGAACCAATAGTTTTTTCCAACATAATTTGACAGTAGGTGCATTTGTCCAGTACTGCAAAAAAAGCAGGGATTATTTGCAATGTTTAATTACTTGGCAAGCACAATACATGAAATATTGAAGTGTAAATGCTATATGTATGCAATTTTTGGGAACAGAAACAAAATCCCAATGCATTTTCTCTTTTAGAATGCCATCTTCTAGAGTATGAAGTTTTTGATTGTAATTAATATGAAGTCTCCAATTAAAAAAAATAATTTAGCAGAGTAAGTTAAAATGTACTCTTTACTATGAAAAGCAAAGTTTCTGGGAACTTAAACAACAGCCATTCCCTCCCACTCTCTCCACAAGAATGAAGAATGAAAATTTGATATCTACATCCACAAGGGTTACAAGATTATCAATTCACGAAAAGCAAAAAATGAACCCCTAAAACTGTGCTTGGGTTTACTAACATAGAGAAAGGTATCGTCCTTGTATGTATGAACTAATCCCATTCTACTGATTTGAAATTAACCCATCAGGGATGCTTGTTCACTAGTGTTCTTACTGCTACACTATCTCAGTGACCATAGGTCTTCTTAAACCTTCTTTTCCAAATACCTTATAAAATCAAACCTGAAATAACCAGTTAGATGTATACAAACTGAAGGCTATACACTATCACGTAAACAAAGTGTGCTGTTTAAATACAAAGATCGCATGGATACTTGAGAGGGACTGGAACGTTAATGCTCAATGTGTCAAACATTTGCAGAAGCAGCAGGTGTTTTGCTGACCATGCACAAAGTAACCACTCAGCTGCAGAGGGGGTGCACACCCACCACCTGAGTCTACAAGCTGGGGTTTGAGCAGGATAAGGGAAGAGGTTGGTAAAAAGCAAAGCCTGAGAGGGGGGACAGTTCTTTTTACCATGCCCACGTCCTTACACATGTGGCTCAGGTGTGAAACCCCCCTCCCCAGAGATGTACAGGGACATTCACACGAAGCCTGAAGGTTTTCATGCCTTCTTACGGTCTACAATTGGCTCAACTATGCTAACCTGAGAGGAAGCTGTAACATCTCTTAGGTGTCATAAACCATCAAGGACAGAAATGCCTCATGATCTGTGGTGCTACATGAGACAGTGTAAAACTCTCCACCACAGGGGAGGTACTTGCTCATTCTCATCTAGTCTGAGTGTTTATTAACTCACTGAACTTTGTGTTTCATAGGTTTCTCCCACCCCAGGTGGACCAAGACTGTGGCCAGCGATTTGAAGGGGCATTGCAATTGCAACATTCAAGTCTTGTCACTGGATCCATGGGTGGTTACTACATACCTTTCTACCCTTAGCCTTTCTTTTTCTTTCTTTCCCCATGTACATTTTCTGAAGTGTCATTTTATGCTTTTATATTGTTGCATTTCTAACCAAAATGCCTACATTTTAAAATCTGCTAAGTATTACTCTACCTTCCTGTTCTAAAGTTTGCAAGTAAAATTTATTATTTAATCTCTTGAAAGTTTCGTTGTTTCTCTCACACACCACTCAGAATAAATCAAACAATCTCCCCGAGAATAACAAGTGTAACAATACTATACCTTGAAAATCAAAGGAATTGGTAAATTCCATGCAAAACAAATAAAAACAACTTGTGTCACCATCTCACACATTCAGAGAACTATGAAAAGTGTAACAGTGTACAACATTATGCCTGGCAACTTTCAGCCCTGAAAGACTCTGCTAGTTGCAAGGTGCTTTGCTGTTTTCTCAGCTGCAAGACAGACGTGCTGGGTCCTGCAATCACTGCACCAGTCATATACTACCCAGGCCATTCCTACATGTAAAGCAATAGTTAGGCTACCCAGTTGTACCCCAAAAAACACAAAATGCATGGAGAAGTCAGGATCAGCATGTATCAGCTTCAATGATATAAGAAGTACAGATGAATTCCCAAATCCTTACAGGCAATGGTTTGGCAACTCCTATTTTAACTGCTCCTGTTGGGGCTCCTTTCAGTGCTTGCACTGCTTCCTCCAGGCTGCCATTTTCCAAGTTGATATCGTTGACAAACATAAGCCGATCTCCAGGAAGAAGTCTGCCATCTTGCTCAGCCACACCCCCAGGAACTAATGAGCGAATCACAATTACAGTGTTTGCTGGATCAACAGGATCCTAATTAAATAAAGGGAATAAAAAGATTTAAATTTTTTAGTCTTTTATATCTCAACAGGAGAATTTTTATTCATGAGCTTTTATTAACCAGTTGCATTATTAAGAAGTATTGCTCTCCTCTAGCTGAACCTCTGGTAGGAGCAAACCATCCTGTCTGTGCTGTCCATACATTTAGACCTCCACTTATTTTTAATTCTTAAATGTGAAAATTATTACTCCTTTCTAGGTGATGGAACATCACGTTATCCCCAACATAAAATACTAGTAAATTGCACAGTGTTATCCATACACATCAGAAATTCATATACTTCTGACTGCAACAACAGTGTTGCAAACTCCATCCTCCCTTTCACACTCAGTTTGAGGACACAGGTGGGCAATGTAGGCTGGGGCAAATGTAACACATGCACTCTAGTGGAACAGATGATTTATTTTCAATAACTGTCTTATACTTCATGATCTTGCTCAACTGAGAAAGCAGTTTTCAAGAGGCAAGGTCTTGTGCATGCCTAGTTAAATACTTACATGAGAGAGGAACATACCAATATAGGACTCTACTCAACAAGACAAAACAAAGTGATGTTTGCTTTTGAGAAAAAACTGCTTTTAAGTGACCATCCTCCAATATATTGATTTTGATAAAAAAAGCTAGCATCAAATACTAGTAGTGGGAACATGTAATTCTGCTGTAACAACTATCACACATGCAAAATATTTGTGTGATTCTTGCAGAACTACATTCACAAGGAACATGAGTGCATGAACAGAAAAAAAAAATCCAAAAATGTTATCAGGTAACAGCTTTACTGACAGCAAAAGCAGAGAAAAGCAAACATCTACAAACCAGCATGCGACTGCAACAAGCTCCCATGTCAAGATGTACAGCTGAAAGGATGGGCACCATCAAAGCAACATGAAAAAGCCACAGGAATAGGGAGACTGCTGAAAGCTGGAATGGGAGAGAGGTGCGGAAGGAGAGAGGGATGGAGGGAGCAAAGGAAGGAAGGAAGGAAGGACACCAAAAAGACCCTTAACCCTTGATGACAGCTACTGCAGTAAAAAGAACGCCATGGAGCAATAAAACACTTCTCATATCACAGTATAACTAGCAGAGCTGCAAATAGCACTTGAGCCTGAGCATTGACATCTTCTTCACTATTTTAACAACAAATATTTACACTGTCACTTTAAATGGCACTGCATTACATGAAAAAAAAGAAACAAGCCTCTCTAGTGTATGTGACAATTTTCCTTACAGTTAGAAATTATGTAGACCTTTCTACAGGCCTGCCATTGTATAAAACATGAGGAATGTATTAATACGAGCATAATTCTCCTCAAGTTTAGTCACTGTTCATTGAAAATGAATTGAAAAATTGATGGAAACAGTAAAATACGAATATAAATCTCTCTGTAAAATTACTGTTCACAGTTTAAAAGAAAGCAGAACTTCAGTGACTGCGTGAAATTTTTTTTACTGCATATCAAAGGAGAGAACATATGACAATACACAAATATAATAACATCAACAAAAGCTTCAGAAAGTTTCAGAAAGCTGACTAAAGGTGTAAGGCTAACTCATATTTGAAAAATATATTAACCAACTTAAGGCACTTCCCACAAGTCTTTAGTACTATTATCCATAAATAAAATTCAGTCACTAATCACATATGCAGCCATCATTTGTGTTAATGCTCAGAAGAGACTGAAGTGGAAATATGTTCTACTGTCTGCTGACATGGACTTCAAACACTCAGGCTCATCTGTGATGTCTCACTGCAGAACATCATGAGCAACGCTTTAACGATGAGTCAGTGCTTCATAAAAGACACCTGACTGTGCCTTTATCCTTCACATTATTATACTGCACTGCTGTTCACCTTATCAGTGTGCAAATGCAAAATCTAAGCCATAGCTTAATTGTAAGGAGTGCCCTGGGACATAATTTTCACCTGGAAGTTATCTCCAGATGTAAATGTATATACTCCTATGGACAAGATCCATCAGAAACCTGGGAAGAGACCTGATCCCCACAGCAGCACAAAACAGCTCAGCAAAAGCCTACATTGACCTCAGGGAGAAATTACTCGATGTTAAATTAAAAATTATTCACTGGAAAACTGGGAACAGGAGTAATATTTCTTCTGGCATCCTGACCAAGTGAAGGCAAGAGAGAGGCATTGAGCTGTTCACTGGGACACACAAAAAACACAGTTTAGATATCCAGGAATTCTGAACTCTAACACAAAATGAATAGGGATGTTTAAGTATGTCCCCGACAGACAGAAGCTAAGCAAGGGATTTCAGGATTGCAGTTCTGGATTTTAGTAAATCCTGCTTTAAGCACTTAAGTCCTTTATTGGATCTTGCTCTAAACACCTCACTGCAGGTGCAAAATACATGCCTAAATATGCTGGCTACATCATTCACTGTCCCACGGTCAGTGAAGACAGCTTTCTGGAAACCCTAGTATATAATGGATTATCTGTTTTTCTGAACCAGTATTACAATCATCATTAGAAGCTGTAGTCTTAATACAATGAGAGGAATATATAATATAATTACTGGAATGCCTACCAGCAGTGATTAGTTCTACTCTACTGCTTTGTTTCAATTAATGTTTACCCTTAAAATATATAGAACATACTGCAAGATCCAAACAATACAAAGTATTTTGTCCTCCGTCCAAAGAAGTGCAGAAGTTACCTGATAGTCCAATATGCTAAATCCAAGCCCCATACTCCCTTTCTCCAGCTCAATGTGCTGTACTTCTGTTTCCCACATTGCCAGAGATGAGCTTTGTACCTCTTCCATACTCTGACCCTCATCAGCTGTTTCCAAAGTTGTTCCCTCTGTGTCTGAGGAGCCAATGAATCCAAGTTCTATGTGACCCTGAGAAGAACAGTAAATATTCACTAATAAAATGTAAACACGTGAGAATCTTTAGAGACAAAACCCTGATTACAAAAAAACAAGATAAAACCTAAGTGATACATCTCTAAACATGACATATCTCTAAACACAGAAGAAGTGCAAGCACTCAGAAGATTTAACAAACTCTGATAAACCCAGCACAAAACTCAAATATCCTTTATAGCTAAGCTGCAAGTATTTTAAACCAGTCACTAGAAAAATATTTACAAAATGGAATTTCTGCCAAAAGGAAATCTTCAAAAAACTTTATTAGTATATATATTCAAATATACAGGAAATAATATGCTATTAAATAGTATGTCTAAAATATGCCTTCATTAAACTTAATCATACTGACAGCAGCCAGAATATTTAATAAAAGTAAAAACAAACAAATATGTACCTATACAGACTGTTCTTCAGTCTCTTCTTCGCTTGGTTTCATAGAGAAGTTTCTAAACTATAAGCTGAATTTGATGCCTGGCTCAGAAGTCAGAGTTAACTGTTTCTCTTTTCATACAAATGCTATTTCTTTGTATACTGCACCCTAGGCCATTCCTACAGTGTTTAGCCCACCAGATTGCCCAGAGCTGTTCACTTACCAACGACAGACATTGTCAGTCAAGGAATGTAAACACAGTTATGCACAATGCAAACCCAGAAAACAAAGTTCAAAACTAGATTAAATACATTCAGATTCTAAAGAACCCACAGTTCAATTTGCTATAGTCATATATGTCACCTACAGAACAAGAAGTACAGTACTTAGAGAGATAGCCATACATCCTAGAAAATTTTTGCCTATGACCAGCCAGGATTCATATCTTCTGGCAGCCTAAAAAATAGCCAATAAGCATTATTTGCTGTTTCCTATTTGTCTGGCTCCAACTCCAAAAATATTAAAATATATTTCTAATCATATAGAAAAACTTCATCTGGCTTTTTTTTTCTCAAGGAAACTGTCATTTTCAGTGACTGTTTAAAAACAAAATACCTTTTCTGTGAGCTGAACGTCAGATAGGCTTAGACTCTCCAGTATTTCTGGTTGAGTGACAGGTGGAGCTACTGGACGACAGCACACCATTGTCACCTTAATAGGCAGCTCTTTCAAGATACTGACCACATCCTTGTGGTTTTCTCCAAGCAGAGAGATCTCATTCACCTCAATAAATAAAGAATGGGATTAGAACTACAGAGTATTTTAACCACGACAACAAAAATGAGTTAAAAAACCCCAAGCAAACCCCAACTCACTAATCACCTCATTAAAAAAAGAAGTAAAATAAACACAACAAAAATCCCCATGCTAACAGACACTTTCAACCTTCAATTCAACTCAATTTGGTGCTCAGCACCAAGGTACATATTGAATTGAATGTATAGTCTTTTAAATTGCATGACACCACCCTAAAAACACTACCTACAATGTAGCTTCATGTCTCTTGCATTCAGGTAAGCCAAATTCACATCTTAAGTCTAAGAAAATAACTTAGAAAAGTAATTAGGTGTTTAGTCTCTTCACTGAAATGGGATAGTCCTATCCAATCTTAATGTTTTTGCTACATAGTCTTTTTTGATGACTGTCTTGGTTTCAGCTGGGATAGGGTTAATTTATTCTCAGTAGCTATACAGTGCTCTGTTTTGGATTCAGTACAAGAATAACTTTGATAACACAAAGTTTTACTTGCTGCTAAGTCGCATCAAGGACTTTTGGGTGTCTTATGCTCTGCCAGTGAGGAGGTACAAAAAATAAAGAAAAGCTATGAGGGCTAAGGGACAGCTGGGGTAAGTGACCCAAATTGGCCAAAGGCATATTCCACACCCTAGACCATCATGCCCCCAGTATATAAACTGGGGAGTTAACTGGAAGGTGCCCTGATCAGGGCTCAGGAACAAGGTCTGGCATTGGTCATCAGGTGGTGAACACTTCCAGTGTTCATTCCAGTGTTCCAGTACATCATTTGAGGGGATTTTTCCCCTTTTACTATGATGATGACTATTGTTATTATACTTTAAATTGTTTCAATATTAAACTGCCATTATCACAATTTACACGGTTTTATTTTTGATTCTCCTCCTCATCCCATCAGGCTGGGAGTGAGTGAGGTAGGTAAAGCAAGCAGCTGCATAGTGCTTACTTGCCAGCTGAGCTTACACCACGACAGAGAGACATTGGACTATATTGAAAAATCTGAGAAATGTATGCAAGCATACGTACTCATATAAATACATGTAAGTACCTATACATAAGTACATATGAAGCGACTACTCAGCCACTAACTGGTTGAGTACATTATTCCCATGGCCAAAACCTATGAGAAGAAACTCATACTGCTCAAAAACCTTACTGCATGCAGACTAAGATAAAGTAGTACTTTATCTTACTTCCAGCAGCTCATCTCCACTGAACAGCTTGCCGCTTCGTCCAACTGGCCCTTCAGGTAAGATAGATCTGATGAAATGATGACCCACTGTAGCTTCAAGGCTTATCCCTAACCCACTACTTTCACTAAATTTGTTAACCACAGCCACCTAAAATAAGATGAAGAAATGGTTACAGTTGTCATATTTACAGCCAGATGTGCTACTTTCCGTTTCAATTCACATGCAGCGAGGTCAAAATCACTTCCAGAAGTGAGAAAACAGAAGTACTATCATGTGTAATGAGAACAGTCAGGTAAAAACTGACTCGTTGATCAGTTATTGGCGTTGATCACACCACTTTGCAATAAATGGGAACTGCTTATGACAACAATGTATTTAATAATACTCACTTCTACATTTATGACATGCGATTTTGCACTATGTCCTAAACTGAGATGCTACTTTTCTTCTGTATCTACAGTATATGTCCTATGCAATATTTACATCATTACGTCAAATCATTTCTTCAGTACGCAGAATGAGAATTAAGTTTCAAGTTCTAGCTAACTGAAGGGAGCTCTCTAATACACATTTATCATCCTGAAGCCAAAAAATTGGTGAAACAATCGTCATGGGCACAGTATCTAAAAAATGTGTTACGGTTTTGATAAAATACAGAAAAATACATATCTACATTCAAAGTCTATAATTAAAATACCCTCAACATACTAAGAAGCATATGTGTAATTTTCATACATGAAGGAACAAATACAATACAAATATATTTCTATCCATACGCTGTCAACAGAATAGACACACAGATGAAATAGAGGCATATTTACCAACAGTAAACATAATTTACCTACCACTATTTCATAATTCGAACCCATAATCCTCTGCCATTTTAGCTTTGCAGCTGCTTCTTCTGTATTAGTTAGCTGGAAATCTAAAATTTATATTTAAGATTATTGTGACAAAGAATTAAAAAAACCTAGTCAATTCCTACAACTGATAAAGTGTATGGAATACGCACAATGACACAATCATTCCCATCATGTCAGCACTCTCCTAAAAATTACTAAAAACTTGGCATGTTTAGTCTCACCAAGCTTGGGTTTACCAGAGCAAAAACTCACAAAGCAGTTATTAAGACTCCAACCATGCAAAACTAACTGCATATTTTGAAAGACATGAAGTTCAGTCAAATAGTTTGGGGTATGTGGCTGGGAAGAAAGAAAACATACTAGCCTCAGAAATGAGTAAATTATTTTGCAATTTTTCAAGATAATAGCACAAAGGAAATGAAAAGGCTGCATTCACGATATATGTTAAATCAGACTACACGTGGGCTGATCAGACTGATTCAGGGGGATGGCTAAAATTCTTAAAAATGTAAACTGTTCACTGATATTTTTGGACAGACCCTGCCTTTTACAGAGAAGATCCAAAAAACACAATCTGGAGATTTTTTTTTTTTACTTTTAAAACCATGAGCAGAACTGTGAAAGGCTTTTCTGAAACTGTAAGCCCTAGAGGTCAGTAACAGATTGCAAGAAGTCCAAGCTCTTTGCTTTTTTTTCCCTAGACTCACATATATGCTGACAATCAATGAGATAAAATTTTAATAGCTAAAGAACCACAACAAACTTGGAAAGGAAGGAAGGGGGAGAAGTGTACTGATACAGCAACATGCTAGGTAATAAAGTGTGGCAAATCTTAATTTGACTGAAAGTTTATTTGCAGCTTTGAAAAACAGAGAAATGCTTTCTTCCTGCTCATTTTCCCCTCATTCATTTGTCAGAAACCAATAAAAAGCAGAATTTAGATACAAGAGCAGCCAACAAACACAGCAGGTTTAACAGGATCCTATATATATTCAAGGTCCATGGTCTAGGCTGTGTCTACCGTAAGTATCAAAATAAACTCTTCAGATCTGAATGCTCATCACAAAGGCAAAGACAAGAAACTTCATTACAAAGTTATCAAATTCCACTAATTTCAGTAAGAATAAAACATGACTAAGAGCCTAGGACAGGGTTTTAAGTCTAATCATGGCTCAGAGACATTACTAAATATAAAGTCAGATGTTGCATGGCATTCAAATATGACAATACCTTCCCCAAAGCCAAGACCCAGCAGTATCTGAAGGAAAGACATTAAAAAGAAATTCCTTCATCTATCCAAGAAAATCAGAAAGCATGAGTTATGAAAAGATACATATTGCAGAAATTTCAGTTCCCCTTTTTCCTCTGGAAGCAAAATGTTACCTCTGAACAAAAATGTTACCTATCAAGTTATGCCTGAATCTGAAAAGTGCATCATCACACAAGACTTCTGAAATGCCAAACAGTGTTCTAGGAGATCAAGCAGGAAAAAAATACCCAGTACAAAATAGGAATTTTGACAAAGAGTATGGGAAAATTTGGAGAATATCAGTGCACCAGAACTGATTAAATTTCAGACATTATCAGAGAATACTAAATGAAATAAATGTAAGCTCAAGAATTTGCAAAAAGGAAATTTATCAGATGTAGAAATCTTGGAACTGTACCTGGGCAGTTGCAGACAACCAGAAAGATAATGAGGAATGGGAAGAAATTATTTTTTCTAGACTATACTAAAAACAGTAGACATGCAAAGCTAGACGAGGAGAGGGTTGAGCAAGTAGCCCAAGTAGACTGCTTCATGTGATATCTTCAGCATATAATTATTTTTAGATACATACAGTAGTCTGCTCCTACAACACTAATGATTAAGAGTACATGAGTATATATATGACTACTTTGACTTTCTAGTTCTGCCTCAGCTACAGAGCTCACAGAAGATGGAAAGACATACAAAACACCTGATCTTTGTGTAAGCATACAGAAGTGCATTTTCACGTAAAAAAATATTAAGTCTTGAGAACCTGTTTCCTGTTGTTTCATGTCATCTCCAATATTTACCACTCTGGCACTGCATGGCAGTGATGGGGATTCCTGTTCTGTTTCATTGTTATCTGAAAAAAAGAAGAAACCTTTTCAGCTGTTTAGCTATTTCATATGTCGTAATACTTATCAAGCTCACAGGAGTGCTCTGGGACACCAACTCTCTCCTTCACTGGACTTCAGAGTACCCAGATTTGGCAAATGAAATGTGGCACAGGTGGCCCAGAAGAAACATCACATTTCAAACACGTTGTCTACCGTAAATGCTTTGCCTTCTCCAGTGAGTTTTCAATGAAAAAAAAACCAACAAAAAAAACAGCACAACTATCAGTACCTGCATTTATATGAAAATACACCTAAATATAACATTCTTTAGCGTTCTTGTTTGAATTTTATTTTTTCTTTGTGCAATTCAAAACACTGATGCTGGAAACAAAAATACTTCAGCCTTGAAGACCTCGCACACTCTTCGTACGTAAAAAACCTCTCCTATCACCATGTTCTATTATGTATTTAGCTGCCTATCAGATGTCTTGAACACCTGCTGGCTGGAGAAATAGCATTCCAACACTTGGTCTATACTTCTTGTAAAAGGCAGGAGTGAGAGGATGACATACAGGTAACATCCTACTGGCTCTGAAAATCTTGTGTGAGATGGGGATTAGGCCTCCGTTGATTACTTGTGACATACTTGTGACATACTTTCACTGACATCAAATTATAACATAAGCAGCTGTCTTGTGGTTCCAGGCCCTGTGCAGATATCTTGCATTCAAACACACTGATTTTCAAGATGTGGCACATATACTTAAATATGCGTAGAGTAAGTAAGATAAAGCTACACTAATCTCATGCCATCAGCAGCAAAATTATTACTGGTCTCTTTACATATGCATCATCAATACCCAATCAGCCCCTAAATACAGGCTACTTCTCTCATACCTGTAGCTTGTAAAAAGCAAGAGTAAAAGGGGATGAGACTGATTACGGTCATCAATGAGGGTCTTTCTCTGATTGCTTTTGAATGCAGCTCTCACTCTTGAGCATGAATAAAACATCTGCTGCCTTTTTATCATTCAAACATTTGCAGGATCAAAGTCTTGGAGCAATTCAGCCAGAAGCACAATGTAAGGAAGAACTTTCAACACTCAACTTGAAAATGTAGCAAGTAACTTCACTGTGTCTAAAAGATTAGTCAAACCATAGTAGACAAAATTCCACCCTCATGTACAGCAGCTCTGCCATCTGTAAAAGCCACTCAGAATGAATCTGGTCCATTTTATTTACAGTTTGCAATTGAGAAGAAAAATGTTTCAACCCACCTTTACAGCAAAGTCAGTATTAATTACCTTTGGCTGTGGTACTATCCATCGCTTGGAATAATAAGTCCTTCTCAACAGGAGCACTGAAGTCCTCCTGGGGTGGAATACGATTTTCCTGCTTAAGACCTCTTCTAATCAAAGTGAGCTGAACTGTTTGTCCTGTGTGCCGCAAAACGTCAACTGCTTGCTGGTTAGTAAAACCCTGAAGATTTGTTCCATCCACCTGCAGGATTAAGCAGCCTTTCAGTTCACCCAGGGGAGAAAACGTTTAGGGCAAAACAATGCAGTGAGCTCTCAGCATCTGTTAGCCTAAGCAAAAAAAAAGTGGAGGGGCAAGAACAAAACCTATACAGGTTAATGTAATTGGATATGCTAAGCACTCCCACTGGAGTACCCCAGAGCTAGGTGACACCACAGCAAAGAGGGGAGGAGTGACCACCATGGTGTGGCCAGGCAGATCCGCTCTGCAACATGGGAGAGGATACAGCATGTGCTGTGCAGGGCACGTTTTGCAGCCTGTCCACTCAACCACTTCTCCTACCTCCAAGGAGAAAATACTGGGTGAATAAACCAACACACCATGGCTAGGAGTTCTGGAGAGAGAAGACTAAGGAGACACACACTGATTCACTGTGGTAGAAAGGTCTACAGAGTGCAGCCATTCTAAGGTCAAGTACCGAGAAGTCTACTAATGAACATCATGAAGTCCAATTTCCAAACAGAATACTGTCACAACCAGTCAGATATTATCACTGGTTCATCATTTGAATAGTTTAAATGATAAAATTTTGGTCTTCTCTGTCTGAAACTATTTGATTATCTCATTAACTCAGATTTCTTTCCGAAATTCTAAACTTCAGCACTTCTCAATTCTTTCCCATTATCCCTACCTAGCACCCACCACATTTTATTCTTCTTCTCCCTGCAAACTCCATAATATCCTATTATTTCTACATCTACCCCACAGCGCCTTAAATTTCTCAAATACTTCTTACAATATTATGCTCTTTGACTCCTGTATTTGTTTCTGTCAACCTACACAACACACATCATTATTTTAAGTCCTCTTAAATGAAGAATGAATCCCCTGGACCCTTAGTCATTTGTTGTCCTTCTCTGCAATTCTTCTAAATCTAAAGTAACTAAAAATCAGGCAGGATTATTTAATTTTTCCTGCACGCGTAAATAAACCATATTTTAAAAATGGTTTTTATTGTTCTGTGTCTGAGGTCACTCAAATTAAGAAATATAAGTTACATGCAGGTCGCATAATCAGAAAGCATGCGATGAAATACTCTGTTAGAAAAGCATTCAGGACTGCAACACTGATCGTAAGTATTTTATACAAGAACTACATGAGCATTTCTTTGCAATATAAAGAAGCAGAGTCTTGTAGACAAGAAATCCCACTTCTTCCTGTGTTTACTTACAACTATAATTTGATCTCCCACATGGATTCTGCCATCATGTTCAACAGCACTGCCTTTTGTAATACTTTTCACAAAGATACCAGAAGGTTCTGGGATGAAAAAACAGGGAAAATTAAGTTAACTAATTTATTAAGAAACAATTTAAATAATGCAACTAAAGGCACCAGTCAAAGCAGGGGAAAAAAAAAAAAGAAAACACTATCTCTAAGTAAGATAGAAAGAAAGCAATGGTTTGAGAAAAAAATATATATATTATTATTGTCTTAAAGAATGAGTCAGATTAATGACTGTTTGCACTGGATCAGATTTTATTCAAAACCTTAGAACACCAAATTGACAATTCTTGATGCAAAACAAGAAATAATCTAACTTACTTTAATCTAAATGTGGAAACCAACATAGACAAAAAACGTACCTCGGACTTTTGCCAGATTTGAACAGAAAATTCAGCTTGAGTACACTAATCTAGTAATTTCTGAATTTTCTACTTAATAACAGCTTAAGAAAATGCATGTTTGGATTGCCAGATTAAGAATATTATAAGGAAACAGGACTACAACTTAGATTTGAACTACTTTTTACTTTCAGTTATCACTACTAGATAAAAAGGTCACAAAGTTTTAAAAGCCTCAACAAAACTACAAAATTAAACAAAAGAAACCCCATGAAAACAGAAACATTTTCGTTTACTAACTAGTTACTACTTTTGAATCAGAAGGAAATTCTGATTAATTTCTGATTTTCAATCAGAAAGAATTCTTGATGTGCTTGTAGCATTATACACATTGTTTAAAAATGAATAACAATCTCAGAAAACTACTCAGAATGCTATTGTGCTGCCTGGTAAGAAGGCTACTTCTAGCAAAAAGGGCTCAACCTATTCTACCATTGATTTTCAAAAACACATAAGCACAAGTTTAGCCAAAAGTGAAGATAAAAACTGATTTTAAAATACCAAGGTGGGATTTTATAATAGTATCGACTACTTTTATTCTGAACATCCTTTTTACAGAAGGAAAACAATTCTTTTTCCTTTACAAATTTCAAATAGATTTTAGATGGTTAATGGTTCTTTTAAGAGAAGCTATACCAAAATTAAGTCTCTGATGCACATATAATATAGTATGCAACAGACTGTATAATAAAGTGCAGGAATCAACAATTACCTGATATCTTGTCTCCAATGTAACCAGCAATTGTTATTCCTAAACCTTGGTTGTTTTTAGTGAGTTCAACATTGAATTTTTCCCCATCTTCACAGCTATCAATAGAAGCATCATCCTAAAAAGAAAAGTGGGATGAGAAAGGAAGCTTTTTTTCTTTAAAGATTCACCACATTCTTTAATGTCAGTAACACATAAAATTAGATATAAACACAAAAAAACGAATTAGGAAATTTGCGTCTGTTCTTATTTGCAGTTCATCAGAGAAGCAAGAAATAGGTAGCATTCCTCATGGTAAAGCAATGCAGGGCAGGTCATGTCCTCCTCACCCCACCATTCTGGGACATATATTACCTTTAACCTAGCAAATCATTTTTTAATGACTAAAATAACTGGTGAAATTTGTACAAATTGAATAATTAATTTCTTGTACAGTAAGTTACATACATATGTATATGAATATGCAGCTTGCTGCCTTTCTGGCAGAAAGGCCATTCTCCTCGGAACTAGCTTTAGACTGCTGTGTTACTAAAAAGACAAAAAATCTCCAAATAGTATTTTGTATTCTATTTCTCCAAATTTCTGTTCATTAACTATAGGTATCTTTTTAAAACTTGTAAGTTAAAAATATGCTAAAAGCTATCACTAGTCAGGCAATTTCATCTCTTGCTTTTGAAAGGCTCAAAAAATTTTGGTTTAGCACATAGCAATTATATTTCTAGCTGGCTAAATAATTATAATCTTCATTAATACCTGCTATAACTCTGAATTTCAATAACAACGGATTCTGGGGCTATTTAATTACTTGTTAATGAAAGTGGAATATATATTAAAATCCTATTTTAACAATGGGGGTTTGTATTAAAAGTTTTTATTCTGTTCCTTCTGCATGCCAAATAGCAGCTCATTTTTTTCTTTAAGTGCCAATATGGCAACCAGGCAGATACTAACTAAACCCAGTTTGACTAGGTAAGTATGCACCATAAAAGACTTCAGGAGAGCTATGATGCTGCTTGCCAAAAAGGAATCTGACTTGAGCTCTTTATCCAAGCAACTTCACAAGAAACCAAATTAAACACAAGAAAAATAATTTTCTAATGCATTAATCATCCCCCTGATTGAAAATAAAGGATTCTTTTGGCCACAGGTAATGCCACTAAAAAAAGATCCAATTCCGATAGTCTCAGGAATTTTTACAAGACAGACATCTGCAGGTAATATGGCAAGAAGTGCCCATTTTGCAAAGCCATTCTGATCTCAATAATACTTTTAAGAGCATCATTAAGACTCTACCCACACCATATCTGATAGGAAAAAACTAAAAAAATCAAGCTGTTTGAATCATCAAACTCACTCCAGACCCAAATCAGCGAGTTTTGCATGACTGTTAACAGGGTGTCCCTTTTGTGTAGGCAGGAGCAGTTTAAAAATAGCCTGCCTCCTGCCAGGAGAGAAGTACCAGGAAAGAGGTATTGAAACATAAGGAAATTAGGCAGGTTGCAAGTCATGATAATATTTACAGCATTTTTTAAGCAGCTGACAGTTGTACAGGAGTAACAATACAAAGTACAATCATCAGCAGGGGAGTAAGGGTAGCAGCTGGCTTACTTTTTTTAGAAAACATCTAGCAAATAAACAATGACAGATGATGTAGGAAAGGATTGGCATCTGTCTGCTGGTTAGGACAGGGAGAAAATTTCTGATGAACAGATTAAATTATATGGAAAGAATAAGGGCAGGCAGAAAAAGAAATGCTAAAGAGTCAACTAGTTCTGTCCTGAAGACTGCATTGCTTCAGTTGTCCCAGTGTAATAACAAATCCTTACAAGCAACCCAGAACAAATTGTTAATCAGATTATATTTAGGGAAGTCCTAAGCCTTAATCCCAGAAGTTTTCAAGACTACCATTCCTTGCACTGTGGACTCATTACCTTTCAATTCTTCCAGACAGTCAGATGAGAATAGCGCTACTGGTAAAGAAAATCCTAGCTTTTGACAATATAAACACAAAAGACATCCAAATAGCAGTTAAAAAGGAAGGAAGTTTGTAATGGGTTACATGGGTTCACTGTGGCTTACCTGTTTCTCTGGTGTAGAGGTGGGTACTGGTGTACCTGGAGGAACTGCTGGTAGAACTGGCTCCTCAACAGGACCTCTTGCAATTACCAGTTTCACTCTATTTCCACATTGCCTAAGAACTTGTGCCACCTGCTCACTGCTCATTCCAGCTAGGTCTGTATCACCAATTTTCAAGATGTGATCTCCACTACACAGTCTTCCATGCTGAAGGAAAAGCAATGACAAAAAAACATCATTTCTCCCACGTACCATAAAATTTGAAAAAAAGCACATAGCTTTAGTCACTTCTAAGACATAAGAATCGGGTGACTTTTTTGGATGCCCAGTCAATATCCTGATAACATGGAGAAGAAAAGAAGGTTGCCTAACGGCACACAAATTTTACTAGGAATTTCCCCTGAAATATCCAGGAGATCCCTTTTCAATACATCACCCAAGCACAGAGAAAAAAATGCGTTTAGTTACAGTTACTCCTACTCATATATAACAATTGCATGTAGACTGCAGAACTCTGGGTTTAATTTTCAAGAACACTTCCAAAGAAAAGCATTCAGATTTGTACTGATACTAAAAAACTAGTAGTAACAGCATTAACCATGACTTCAAAATAAAACTATTTTCTCTCTTCCTGTGATACAGCTAAATTGCTTTACACTGGTTTAGTCTCTTACTAATTTACCTTTAATTAAAAAAAAAAGTTTCACATGAAGTTAGGCCATACGACGACTATTACAGAGAGAAGTTTGTAAAAGGAACTTATCTACCTGTTCAGGGGAACAGCAGCAGTAAATCCTGTCCATGCATCTCCAGGCCCTGTTGTCAGGCTACTACTACTGTTGTTGGAAAGCTGACCAGTGTCTCTATGCCCATTCAATCCTTGACCATCATTAATGCAGCCCTAGGTACCTGTCCAATGAACAGGCTTGAAATGACCTGTGATAACCAAATTCCATTCACATGAGCCCTTCAGGCAAGAGCAGAGCTTGTGTCTTGAAGCAGACACATGAAGCCACATACTGGCTCCAAAAGTCAGTAAGCTCAGCAGAGAAAAGCAGATGGTCTTAGCTGTTAGTGCACAGCAAAACAATCTTTGGAGTCCACAACACACCTAATTACAACCAGTATACTTGTGAAGGAATTAAGACTCTAAATGCACAGAATGTATAACATTATGGATATGAAAACATGATTTAGAGCCTAATCCATCTTTAACACTCAAATGCAGAGACTCCTGCATTAAGCATACCTTTACAGAGGAAAAATTTTAGTAATTACTGTTTCTATTTTTACTTTTATTTGGATAAAAGCTACCACTATTTGATCTGATCATAAAAGAGTAACTTCACACCTTACTGAACAGTAACAGAGAGGTAGGTTCAATTTACCTGATCAGCAACCCCTCCTGGGAGGATGGTTTTAACAATCACTCCAGTTGACTTTCCTCCCACTATCCCAAATCCCAGACCTGAGCCATCATTCACCAACTCTATGGTCTCCACATGCTGCCAGTGAACCTAAAAGGAATAAATATATACGTGCAAATGATTAAACACAAAGAATCATAGAATTATTCAAGTGTAAAAAGACCTTTAAGATTATCAAGTCAAACTATTAGTACATGTATAAGAATTTGCTATTCTTAGCAAAGCTATTCTCTCCCATTTCTTAAGTATGTTTTTAATAATGGAAAGTTAGAGGAAGATGGACATATAATACCTTTTTAACAATTACTATTAAGTGTAACATTACACAATATTTAATCAGTAAATTACTAATTCTATAACAAGTGGAACTTCTCTGGTACAAACCAGAGTTGGGTAATGGGTCAGATCTTCCAAGAATTTGTCAGATGAATTTAGGCAGCAGCCTAGGGCTGCCCACCTTCATTCCCCTTTGCAGTCAGTAAATACTGCTGCTAGTAAACCACACAGGACTGGAAATTAATATCTTCACATAAGTGCATGTTCATATCACATTATAACAAAGCACAGGAGAAAGCAAAATCCCAATTCAGTATTTTTAAGGCTGAAAGCAGAACCAAATATTGTGAGGCAAGTATTAGCAGAATTACCCTATATAATAAAGTGTTCTGGGTTGTCTGATGACAACAGCATTAGAATGAAGTTCTCATGACAGACTTTGTGTTCTGACAGGAGCAAAACTGCTCAAAGAAAGACAAATCCTAGTTCACTCGCATGGGGCAGTACTTGAAGGGACAGGTCATAGTATTCTTTCTCCTGAAGAACTCACACAGCAAACTCATCTGAAATTTAAAACCACAGCTGGTGCTAGAACAGGTTTAATCTTGAAATAAACTTTTTCTTTTTTAATAATCAAGATATTGCAAACTCAAAGGCCTGCGATACCTGTTTGGAGATCCAGTCTTAATATAAATCCAGTATGATAAAATAAAGCCTGAAGGAAAAAGAATGGCTCCTATGATGTATTTGAAACTGAAGAGAACACCAGAATTGGGAAAAGCATACTAAAAAAACGAGCAGCAGTTATGGAATTTTTGTAAGAAACATCTTTTCGAGCAAGGGAGGCAAATAAAGAGGCAATCATATAGAGAAATAATTTTGTCACAGCAATGCTGGAGTAGAGAGGCCTCTCCTATGTGCTGGCAGGGAAAGTTAGGTCAGTCAGCTGCACTCTTGCACACAGTTAAAAAGAATAATTCTGACATGCCTTCATTAAAGGTTTTATGCTAATGATTAAAAAAACCACTTAAAACAGTTCCTTTTTCCAGACTGATTGCTCTCTATACTACTGGTAATTTACTCCCTTAAAGAAGGGCCACAGATAACTGAACAGTAAAACCTACAGAAACTGAATATAGGATGTTTCATCCCAGAACAAGTCATTACATGGGTAAGGTAAGAGGAAGAGAAGGTACAGTTAACATCACCATGTTTCTGAACTGTGTTGTCTACACCAAGATGTGCAAAAGCTCTCATAAGAAAGGAATTGCAGGAGAGCTGCTTTTTGGGGAGTCCTTAAGTGCATCTTGTAACTTTACTGGAGCTCCCATGCAGACAACAGAGAAACAAACACTAAAACACCCATCCAGCTGGTGGTGCAGATCTGATTACAATGCCCCAAAAATTGTTTGCTCAAGCAGAAGGCAAAGAAAAAAATTTCCTGTTTACTGCAACCTCAAAATAAAGCTTCATCAAGTAAAGTAAACATGCTGTATTTGCACTGGTGGATATAGATAATTTGGCAGATGGGAGCAAGGAATACATCCAAGATGAAGATTTTTCCCCCAGCAAGGTTAGGTATTTTCTACTCTTTGTAGGGGAAAGGTACATATAAAGATAAATAGAAGAAAAACCTCAAGAACTGTGAAGAAATGTACATACAAGTTACAAAAAATTACTCAAAAGTCCATGCACATCCAGAACTGAATACACAGAGGTTTGGGCTATACTTACCGGGTTGGAATGGGCTGAAACTGTGCTAGCAGCAGATGGAGACCGGGAAACTACAGGACTGATGAGCTGAGGAAAAGTGCCTCTAGCCACAACTAGCTGGACATTATCTTTTGCTTTCTGCAAAATGCTGATAGCCTGTTGATGTGTAATTGTCTGATCAAGGGCTTGTCCATTAATAGCAAGGATTTGATCTGCTTCCTTCAGCTTTCCATCTCTGTCACATAGGTGTAAACAGGAAGGGGGATGACAAAATAAACAAGTAAGTAAAATCACAAAGAAGCATTGTCACAGAAATTACAGTATTTTGACAGCTTTCCAGTATTTTTAATAGCCTGGTCTCTATTCCCACCACTTTTTTAATCCCCCCCTGCAGTTTTGCTGAAAAGGAGCTGATGTGGCACCCTGGTGATCGCTCCCTTTGAAGCTAATCCCACTGCTACTTTCCCCTGGTGACTACCCCCCAGCCAGTTTTCTTCTCCCTGAGCCCCCATGTGAGACTAAGCATATTAATTTCAGTCCCTCCCAGACATAGCCTGGGAACTTAGGTTTATCCTTGACTTTGAGCCTCTTGTTTTACAGACCAAGTGCCCCACTTTGTTCAGTGCACCCATTCTGAATATTCATCAAACCATGGAGTGAAACACACTTTCATCAGTGTTACAGAAACAAATTTTGTTTTGCTGAAAAACAAGGGAAAAAAAAAGAAAAATAATAAACAAAACAAAAAAACAAAAACAAAAAAGGACAAAGAAAGAAACTGAACAAAAATGGTAAAATAGATCCCTTTTATACAAGGGGAAAAAGCCCTGAACAAATTAAAAAAACCTCTTCGCTTTCTGACAAAGGAAGCATCACTGTAAAATTACATCCTTCCTCAGATCTGTTCCAAAGAAGTGTACAAAGCCTACACAATTGAACTACCTTCTTTTTCCTCCACCATTTCTTTGCATCCCAAAGTGGCAATGATTTGATAACAAAGGGCAGCAAGGAAAACAAAGACTTCTATTAAAACAGCCTTTGTGAACACCTACACTGTAGAAACCCACATAGAGCACTCCGGTAGAAAAAGACAATTTAGCTTCAATCCATAGTATTTCACTTGTGAATTTGAACTGGTTTTCAGAGTGCTCTCTAAGACTTATTACTGCCAGAGCCTTTCTCATTTATATATATATCTTAAGCACTGCAACAGTTGTTGAATGTTCTTTTTCTTGACAATGAATTGGGCAATGATTCAGTAAAGATAGGTCTCACCTCCAAGCAGTAAGCATAGTAAAAGTAAATACCTGTCAAATGAGAAGGAAACAAGCAAAAAATAATCCCTCACGTAAACCAAAACAAAAACAAACAAAAGATTAAGTGGAAATTAGGCAGATTAAAAATATTGTAGAGATATCAAGCATGCTACACTTTGTAACTGAATAACAACAATTAACTTTGTATACCATGTTCTTGTCTCTCTTGCCCATGCTCTTCTTAGACTTACAATGTTCAGATCACAAATAATCCAAAAGTATCTCCCTAAAGCACAGTGAGAAACAGCACCAACAAGACCCAGCCTCTCCACACAACATACGGGGTACACCACAAAGCAGCTTGGGTGAGGATCCTGAGCAGTGACACACCTAACCAGTGTGCAGTGAATTAGTGTCATTTATCACTGAGTTTGTCCACTCCCTCAGGCACATGTCTCAACATTAGTTGTGGAATCCGAGTTTAAGTCTAAAGCATACTTTTCAGCAAGCTATTATTACTGCTGAGCTCTCTAATACCAGCTGAGTACCTCTGCGAATATCCCTGACTTTAGGTCAAGACTTGCTTGACTTCAAATGTGGGTTTCACACCTGCTCAATGGCACTCTACCTAACAACACTGCCAGACACAGCTGACTTTTTTGCATCAAATTCTTCTTCAGTACATTCAACAACGGCAAAACATATATTTCAGCCTTAAAAGACATGACACAGAACAGTAGCTTCCTCTTTTTCGCTATTTAAAAACTCCAGGGAAATGACATTTGTAGTTTCTATAAATTAAAAACAGTTCATATGATGCCTGTTCCAACATTACATAAATTGCGGCAGGTAATTTTGCATCTGCAATGATGCTCAGAATATGAAGAGAGAAACATGCTCTTGTACCACAAAAATAACAGCACTAACACAACCGCACTGCAGTGTCACATTAACATTTGGTATAGTATTCAGTAATAGTATTACCTGTGTGCCACACTTCCCTCCTGGATTTCTTGTACAAATATTCCTAGTTCTCCCCTGTTTTCACTCTTGAGTCCCACAACACTGAAGCCCAGACCACCACTTAGAGGTTTAACAAGGTCAATTGTCTCAACAAGACGACCCTGGTCAGCAGAAGTTAAAAAAAAAAAGGGTACACAAATTAAAAGATTAAAAATTAACAAAGGTTAAAAATGTTGGAAAACAGCAATAAAAAATGTGGCAAACAACTTAGAAATTAACTTCTAATGACAACTATAGCTGGGCAAGATTATACAAGCTAATAACTAAAACATGGTTTTTCATTTCCAATTTTCTGCTCTCATACAGAAAATATTTGAGAAATAAATATTATTGCACCCCAGAAGAGGAAATCAGGAAACAAAAGATAAATATACTGAGTTTTGGTTTAGTAATGACTATAATATTATATATATCTATTTTAGAGGGTATAGGACAACTTTCAATCAAAACCAGAAAAAGAGGACAAATTACAGAAATACAAACGAAAGTTGGACTATGCAAAAACACTCTCCTGAACACCATTAGACTTCTCCTTGAATAGATAAACTCTAGAATATATGGCTGGGCATTCTCAGCTCCAGCCACTGAAGAGACTCATGTACCATTTCTGCCTACTACAGCAAATTAGTAAGATTACAGAACAATGCACAGCAAGGTCAAAGAAAGTCATAGAACTAGCTTTCATTAATTATGCATATAAGAGCATGCTCTGACAAAGTATCTCCCTCATGCATAGAGCAACAGTTCTACAATGAGCATGGAAAAATAATGGCATGCTGATCTTTAATACACACACTGGTCAGCTAAGGACAGTAACTCCTGAGTGACTGCGTCAGGGCTAGTTTTTCAACAGCTTCCTCATTTACTAATTGTTTCTCAAACTAAAAGGTTACTTTTATCTTATACAGTAAGTGGTACAGTGGCTTGTGTAGTAACTCAATTGCTTTTAAATAAATGTACATGTATCCTAATCTTCATATAATCAGTAATGCATATTTTGTGGTTATTATATGATAGGGTTACCTGGGACATGTTTCTGATTAGCTGCTCAAAGTCATCACTAGAGAATTTCCCATTAATCTGAGGTGTAATTGATCTCATTGATGCTTCTAACGCATTAGCTGGGCTGCCATTCTGCTGAGCCAACAAATACGACTCATTAAGTGGCAAGGACCCCACGTTCACACCATGATGGAGAAGCTGAGGGAATTCACCACTGGAATGTATGGAAGGTGTAATATTCACCTGTAAAAGATTGAAGGCAATGCGGATTTATAGACAGAGCAGAAATCTTCTCGTTAGGTAAGAACATTATCATAAGCCAACTGATCATTAGAAGTACTTGAAATTCCAATTTTATGCAGACATTTTAAGGAGAAAAATTACCTTCAATATTTATACCCAATGTAAAGTTGCGAACTACAAGCATAAACAGAAAAGAAATTCATTAGACCCTAAAATTATTTTCCATACTCTGTCTAAAAGTAATTTGTTCCCATCACCATAGCATCTTGAAGTATTCCATCACTGTGTTAGAGGTAAACAAGAACTATTTTTTTCTACAGTATCAGTATTTATGGAAAAAAACAAACAAACAAAAAGCAAGCAAACAAAAACCAAAAAAATGTTAACAGTTACTTTACAATTAAAAAAAAAAAAGAAGTATGCCCATATTGATGAAAAAAATAAGTAAATCTCACAGCTATATAGAGAACAAATTTCACTGGTCAGGGTTTCCACAACACTCTGGACTACAGCTACCAATGTGAATATCTACATGAGCTAGGATTAAATACAAGATTACTGAACAAGTCTAAAACCACCAGGCTGATCTGAAATTACTAATTATTTACACAGACAGACTTTACAATCCAATTTTCTTAGAAGAGGAAAGAAAATAAGAAAATTCCCTGTTTTGCACAGCCGTAGTAAATCACCTCTTTTCAAGCAGATCTGTGCCAACCAATCTAATAAATGGCTTTTGGTGATATAAAATTCAGGTGAAGCAGAAACCCTCATTTGTCTTTTGTCCCTTGACTATCAATTGATACTGCTTTACACTAGACAAATGTGCTTCCTACTTGCCTGGCTCACTAACTATTATATTGCAATTTCAAACACTTTCCATAATTTTACATGCGCACTTTCTAGCATTCTGCATCACAATACAGAAACCCAAGGTTCCCTTCCTTAAAGTCATATTTTAAACTTCAAATATCAATAAAAATTTCAAAACAGTAGATATATTCTAAAATGTCTACTGCACCAGTCTCAATTGTTCAAGCATGTTACGTCTATTAGGTTTATCATATCAGTCCTACAACAGTCCAGTCATTAAAAGGTCAATATTGTTCTCCACCAAACAATTCCATCTCATCCGAGTGTGTTTGGAAAATGCAATAAAACAAACGTAGCTTGTTGAACAATTTATGTGGCTGGGAAGGCCCTCAAGTTAAAGAAAAAATACCACAAGGCAGCATTAAAAAGAAAAGCTCTCAACGGCATTTCTAAGCCTGCTCTGACACAAAAATCTGTAAAGAAGAAAATGTGGATGTTTAGAACTTAGTGATTTTTATATCCCATTGATTATATTCAATGTGAGGAATCATTTGGGTTATGTTTCAAACAAGTTGTAACGCCTAAAGTGTGCACATATGCACTTTAACCATATACATTCATGTTGGCAAGCTTGTAAGGCATATGCAGACAAGCCTTGTTTCACACTTCATTACATGCAACAACACTAAAGACGTAACCAAATTCTACCCTTCTGAGAATATAAGACTTCCCTTTACATTATATGAATGGATTCAAAACTAGTAAAATCTATGACATACTTACCTGCATAAGGCCATATAATAGGTTAATTCAATTCCACCTTCCCAATATTGTCCATTTCAATGTATAAAACTGTGTAACTGAACTTGGTCAATTATGTGCTTCATTTTTTATTCCCCTCCACCTTCAAATCTTCCTATAGAACATGTTGTTATGCTTCTTCCCACAAAAAATGGTCATTGGTGAAATCATTAATCCTAGGAGTATCTAACATTACTACAATTAACCATTCTTAACTGGTTCTACTAAAGTATTTTTATATTTCTACAGCAATATGAAGCAGCCTAAGAGTTATATGAGACGCATATTTGAACTACCTTTCATGTGCACCCAAAGGCCACAGTATACGGGTCTGATATCACAAATGTCATTAAGTAATAGATTCAAGTTCATTTTCTAAATTGCAGTGCTCATTGCAGAAAACAGCACTGAGTTCCCTTTTCAAAGCAGTCCCTAGAGAACTAATCACCGGCTCTGGCAAAGCCAGTAAAGTCAGACTAAACAAAGAACAGAATAGTACGAGTAAAACCAACTAATTTCATCCAATATCAATCAGTGAGAGCTCACAAAACTACTTTGTTGCAGCTTTTGGAGTGGTAACTTCAAACAAAGTGAGTCAGGCTCAGCAGCCGAGAATGGTAATGACTTCAATCAGTATGATTACACCTAGAGAAAAATACATTAAATGTCTGCAATTTCATTTAGTACCATTGTAACTGCATTATTCTGTCCTGGGGGCCTTTTACTGTGGTAGGAGTTTCCGGATGTTTCATGTTTCAGGGTGGCAGAAGGGAAGAGTCATTGGTATTACTGATAGCCTTATAAAACCCAACAGTGTGTGAATTCCCCACTCTGAGCAGAGTGTGTAGTCATTTCTAAGACAAAAAAAGGGAAAAGAAGGAAAATTTTATAATAATGCTAAAAGCAAAATTTGAGACCACATAGAGAAAGCTAGAACACCTTCTACTTTACAAAGAACAAGCCATGCAGGCAAAAAAGGAGAGAAACAGAAATTTATGTCACAGAAACTGACTGTAGCTGAGAGCCCACTGCTTTAAATTTATTCCATGTCAGCACACAGTGTTTCAGACAGCTATCACAGAGACAATCCCAGTTTGTGAAACCCCTCTCTGCATAAAAAGCCCATGTCTTTTGTGTATGTAGAGTACTTCTTTGCACACAAATGTGTAGAGAGGAAGTTGCACTAGAAAAATCACGCACAAAAACCTACATCAAGCCACAGTTATTAAAATTATGGCAGTTTTACAATAGTATGAAAGTTATAAATAGTATTTGCATTATGATACTGTGTTTCTCTAGTATACAATAAAATACTTTCTGTATGCATAATCACCAAAGAAGAAATGGAACTACAAGTCAAAAAAAAGGTTTTAGAATACGACATATTGCCCTTATGAATAGTATTACATTCCTAATCTGAATCCAAAATACTCCTTGGACCACTCAATCTTGTACTATGATTTAAGTATGTCCTCCTAGTACTACTGAACAGTGGATTGATTGCTTTAGTCAGCTCACTGCACTGTTTGCAATGTTCTAAGAGCAGAGTACCCATTATGGGCATTTTAACTTCCACCTGAACAGCTGCCCAGTATCACCAGGCTTTTCCTACTCAAGTTTGAAGGACTTCTTCAAAAAGAGAAGGCAATGTCCTTAGGAAATTATGGTTTTCTCCCCGCTACAGACTTTGCACATTCTCTTGCTGAAATAGAAATAGTTATAGGCCAATTCATTTTTTTAGTTTTTACATTGTATGTTTTCACTGACCAAGTCCTGTTCAAACAGGCAATATAGTGACCACTCTTCCGTTTGAAATTTCATCCTTTCTCCATACTTTTGTGAGCTGGGACATTACTGCAGACATATCAGAATTGACTTCTCCCATTCCTTCTGCCTTTCAAAGCAAAAGATGGAAGTTGTTAATGTTTTCCTAATATACAACAATAACAACTTCACTATTCTGAAAACACTGGATTATATTTATTTGTGTGATGGTTAAAGCACAGAAGTCTTGCATACTACATACATTGCAGGAAAAGTAAACAATAACCTTCCAATTCCCACTAGCTAACCTAGAAATTTAAAAGCTTCTCAAAATTTCAGTACAACAGCACAGCTACAAAACAGTATTGAACAGTAACATCAAGAGCAACTGACAGCAACATCTCATTTCCACCACACCTTTTTTAAACAAACACAGCTCATGTTTAATGGAGGATGTGCTCAGTGCATGAAGCCAACCTCACATAAAATGCCATCTGACCTCTGAAACCCCAAGAAAAAAAACCTCAAAAAAAGTTAGACTGTTAAGAGAATAAAGTTTTGTCTATGTGTGTGTGCAAAAACCTCACATTTCACATCTCCTCTTCTGAAACAGACATGGTTACACCTTAAAAACTATAAAAACATTTATGGTGGCATTTACAGTAGTACTTAAGGTAGAAGTTCAGAATTCCGAGATAAATTATAAGCAGAAATGTGATGACCACTCTTTTCCATGCGCCCCCCAAAATCCAGGCTTATAGCATTAAAAAGTAAAGAGTAGCTGCTATATATTCTTGCTGACCACAGACGTATAGGTGATTCCAGGGGAGCAATACACCACAAGTGTAAATCTTAATATTAAATATTTTTCATAACTTACAAATTGCACTACCTTGCAGTAATACAATCGCCATAATTCCATTTTAAGTAAGTAGCTTTATAGCACTGTGACTGCATAATTACAGTATGAAACATTACAGATTTGCTTTATAAGCTTGCTTATGCTATTTTTCCTTGATTGGCTTTCTCCTTATGGTATAAACGTCTCCAATGTGAACATAATTTGATAAGATAAAAAGAAAAATGCATAAATAGCACTTAGTATGACAAAATTTTAGTCACATAGATAGACACTAAATACAATCAAGCAGTGCTTACATGCAGTAGCTCAAAATACTTTTTTAACAAAAAAGCAACACAAGCCATGTCTGCACTGTATCAGCACTTAAAGCAATGCCGTCAACATTGCTAGGTCTCAACTTAGGCAAAAATAAATTTTCAGTATTTCTGCACTCCAGCCACTGAAGGAGAAGCTCTGGACACCCCAAGAAGCACAAGTCTGATTGCAAGATTCCTGAGTAGCAAAAAGGCCAGCTGCGACAGTAATCACACTGAAGTGAGAAGCACAAGCCAGAGAACATGCAAGCACAACAGCCGGGAAAGGCCCTGAGCTCCCAGGAACAGGAACTGGCACCAGCACCACTCTGCTGGCTGCACCTGTATGACTTCAAAGTAGATGAAGCAGATCCCAAATTAGCATTTCTTTGTGATTACTTCATTTAAAAGAGCAAACATTATTGTTGCCAAAAGGGGCCCAAAACATGAATTAAACATCTCTAGTTGTGCAAAATAGAGTTAACTTAACACTGTTAAGTGTTCACAGGCAATATGAAAAGACAGCTTCTCACTTCTTCCCTAAATCCTCTCTTGCACTGACATCCAGCTCCTACCCACCACTACACTGTGAAGGAAAAACCATGGTCAAACTCACAAGTAAAAAAACAAAAAACAAACAAAACAACAACAAAAATAAAAAACCAAAAAAAAACAACCAAACAAAACAAACCACCAAATATAAAACCCCCCAAAACTGAGAACTGCAGCCCTGCCATTTGAGCCAACCACCAGGTATTTTCTTCTTGCAGAGTTCTGAGTAGAAAGAAGGCAGGCTGAGGTGTGGAGGAGGAGGTAAACAACTGAGAGACAAAAAGGAATGGCAGAGAAGCAGCTCAGAAATTCTAGCATGGTCTGATCATTTTCTTTGAATAATTTATAAAGAAAATAAAATATTATTAAGCTATTTAAAACCGCCACAATCTCTATTTTTCTTCTCCATCTCTGCCTTATCTTCCAACAACAAGACTGCTCTTCAACTTGAGAAAACAAGCATTAACTGAAGAAAAAGGACAGAGACAAGAAAAAAACTGGTTCCTTCAGCGCTCCCCAGCTCAAGAGACTTGCGAAGTCTCTCACAAAAAAACATTGCTTTGCTGTGCCGAGACTTCTCTTCAGTTAACTTCACAGTGACATTTTTGCAGTACAAACAAATCCTGGTTGCTCATTTAAGAAAAAAAAATACCCCACAACTTTAAAGCCTACTAATAAGAACCAAGGCATCAGATTTGCTGACTTTAGCACCATGCTTCAAGATAAAACAACATACCAGTCAGCACACACACTGCACAAATAGAGGGCAGGACTTTTCACTATCATTTCTATGCTTTCCAGACATAGTGTTTCATGTAAGGAATACATCCTTACCTTGAAATTTATTGACGACCCTAAAGGCCTGCAATGAAGTCTCACTGGTTGATCTACTTCTGCTGGGACACTTGCACGGAATCCGTTTGACTTGCAAAGTAAACTGCCATTCTGGCTTCTCCGCTCCCATCCCCATTTTCAAACTACACTGTCCTGAAAGGTGACCTCCCCAAGAATTTTGCAGTAGTCTTGTAGCTCTTTAAAAACTCATTAAAAACACAGGAGCTGTTAAACAGACTATTACACTTCACCTCAAAAAGAATCAAATCCCCATTCAACTGTCACTGCAGCTCATCATCAAATATTAAAAAATTAGCCATCTTGGTCTCCAGTGGGTAATAACTGCAAGACTTTGTCATTGCACAACTCAGCACCGTTTTTCCTCCTGTCTCAAACACAGCTCTGACTGTAACTGTTGGGACACAACTTGTCTCTTTAGTCTGGCATGGCCTGGTCAAAAAACCTGGTCACTACTTACATGCTTTGCAGTTTTCATCCTGTACCTTAAAAGCTTCAAGAGCACAGTACTCCCACAGTTGTAAAAAGGGTGTCCTTGAAGGGTGTCCTCAAAAGTGAGTCTTTGAAAAGACAAGGTTTTTTAATATAACTGTCTATTTCATGCTTTAATTCTTTGTCCTGTTTCAGTATGCTTTGTAAATATTTAAATAGCACAGACTAAAACCAAATAATCTCACGTTATACTGTAGAGAAGAAATTCTGCAGAAAAAGTACAGGATGAAGAACTGACACAAATCCAAATCTAAGAATGCTGAAAGCATATATTGACATGTGTAAGTCTTCATATAAGCACACATAAAAGAGGGAATTCATATTCAAATAGCTCCCCTGTCAACTAGACAGGGTGTATATACCATGCAATATGCATAGATCCCAAAAGTTACCTCACAGATAAACCTGCAGAGTCAGGACAGGAAGTGAAGTTATTCTTTGCTTTTTAAAAAATACATGCCTTAAATTACCAATCCTAGTATCTCCTGCTTCATTTTCTAATTTAGGCAAGTGTATTTAAAAAGATAGCTATCCTTTAACTTCACAGCTAATGTCCAGAAGTGAAAATTTAATTTGCTATTTTACCAAACTTCTATTAACATTTCAGGCATACTTTTATTTCTCACTACATGTTCCCAGGGTCTTCACCCTATTCGCATAATTTCTGGATGTCACTGTTAAATTCTCATTTTCAAATAGCAGCGCAAACAAACCCTCAGGACAGTTTTTTTTCTTGAGATTTCTAAAAATTACTCCACTGTCATCAAGTCTCTAAATACTAAACTGACAAAATCTGAAAATCATCATGATGAATACAGTATAATTTATTTCTTGCCTGTGCAAAATAGCATCAAGATGATCCACAAGTTAAGCAATAAAAGGCCAGAGTGCATTCTTCTGCTACACAGCTGAAGTACTGTGAGGATTGTCAGGAATCCTCATCAGTCTGGTGAAAGACCAGATGGGGCTCCACACTGACAATAAGGTCCATGTGCAGAGTCTGCTCCCTCCCACTTCAGCAATTCTGCATACCAGAACAGAGCTTGCCATCTTGCAGGAATCAACAGGAACAACAATTTGTAAAGCCAGATACATGGTTTAGCCCTGATTCAGTTACTGAACTACCTTCTATATTCTGCTGACAAGAAATTATAGCAACAAAAAAAGTCAATATAGCCAAGTTGCTGACCCTTTTCTCAAGCATTGAAAACATGCAGAAAATTAATACTTAACACCCTGAAAGCAAAAAGGAGGCAGGAGCTCTGGCTTCTCTTTGATCTTTTATTCCCATACAAAGTACAAAGTAGATCTTCATATCCTTCTGAAGTCAACCATTCCACAGCTTTCCTCTACATCCTCGTTTTAGCAGGGTAAGACACAAAAGAGCAATAAAAGGCTCCTACGAAATAAGTCCAAGACCTCATAGAAAACATGTTCCTTTTGAAGAGCAGAGAAAGAAAGCTTTATGTTAACCCCCACCCATACCACCATTTCCCTACCCTGCACATTTTAAGTAATGAGCATATACATAAAAATCACATACACAAAATACGGCCTCAACAAAGCCCTGAAAAGTCAGTGGGGTATGTCCCTGAACCTTTGGATCAGATGTTTAGTTTAAGCTATTTCACTGTTCAACAAGCAGAAACACACACATCTTTGCATTACCTTGGCAAATTTCCCCTTGCACTTAGCAAGACTGCTTTTCCTACCTGATCTCTCAGTTGTTGAACAGAAGTCTGAAGGCTCAGAATTTGATTAAAGAGAGGACTCTGCAGCACTGATTTTAATAGGTTCAGTTTCTCTTCATTTGCAACGTCACCTCGATCCCGAAGTTTTGCCTGTAAGCGTTCCATGGCCTGGAGGGCCCGATGTGTATCTGTAGCAATAATCATTTCTAGTCAGTAGCAGTCTAGAAACAGCCACACAAGGCAACAGGTTTAAATATAACTCTTTTTACTGCTCAAACTACTAAGAACTTAAATGGCTCTGTTTTGAACAAAAATCCCACCCTATCTAATGAAGCACAAAGTCAGAGGCAAAGCATAAACCAACGAAAATTGTATTTTTACCCATCAAGAAATGGGTTACAAAAATGAATGAGTCTTCATTGAAATTCAGTTACAGGAACTGTGGCTACAGTCCACTGTAAATAAATAGTGGCATAAATAGTCATAACAGAAAACATTTGTCCTTTCCATGCAAACTATTAATTCAAGAAAATATTAAAACAATGAAATCAAGACAAGGCAAAAATTTAAGCACATTAAACATATGATCATACAACTTTTATTTTCAAATACAAAAACCGAAACACAGCATACATTTCTAAGCACAGTAGATAATTTTTTTCAAAAGGTCTCTCAGCAGTATACACCCATATCCCATATCTATCACACACACCTGATTTGGCCACAAAAGTACTGTGATACAAATGCAAAGCAATTACCAATTGTTTCCAACATGTTTTCTGCTTCTCAGGTTCTATTTCAACACTGGAAAGAGACAAGTAATATTTCCCTGAAAAGTAACAGAAAGAAGAAAAAAGGGTCACATTTATAGAAACACTAAGCGCTGAAGGGGAAGAAAAAAATCTTAACTTTTGAAAGCAATAAACAGCAAAATAACAATCCACAAAAAAATATCTCCACAGATAATTAAAATAATGTCAAAGGTGACCATAGTTTGACTCACTTTGGTGCTCAAAACCTTCCTGAAAATTGCTTTAGGAATATACTTTGTAATAGATTTGCATTTCCATATCAAAGCTGCTGTCTGCATACTGTTGCACAACATGTTCCGCATTGCTTTAATCAGACACTGTGAATCATAGCTGCCACTGATATTTTACATCGTTTCATTGCTTTCCTTTTCAGTGATTCACAAAAGATATTCCCTGAGGGATCAGTTTTCAAGCTCTGTGTTGACAATTTCAGGTGCATGAGCCACACCACATTTTTTACAGCCACCTTAGAAAGAAGAATCATATAAACCACAAGGCTATAGGCTTGCAGGACTCTCACACTAGAGACTCTACTATTAGCATCTATTGGAATTGAGTTATCTCTTGGATGATAGCTGTGTTTCCATCAGTGTGGATTTCCAGGAAGAAAATTCTACAGGGATAAAGAAATTCTGAAGTTGCTTTGCTTATTCTTTTTTGTTGGTTTGGTTCTCTGGGGTTGTTTGGGGCTTTTTAATGCACACGTGCAATTGCTCAGAAATTTGCAGTGACAGAACATGTCTGATGGAGATGGATAGCTGAGGAGAAGTGAGGAGCTCAAATATCATTGCAGGTATATGAATTGTTCATCTTATCTTTCATAACAGTGATTTTGTTTTCTTTACAGTAGGAAAACACTTCAATACAGCACTGCCACTTGAATCTGGAGAACTTAAAAACATGCAGAGCTGTGATCACTAAGCACTCAGGAGAAGTGATTTTTTTCTTGAGTCTTTGGATAAAAACAGGAAAAGGAATGATGTTGACAGATCACTAGATAAGACAGCCTAACAGGATCATTAGTTATAGAACCTTACCATTTTGTCAAGCTTATACTATTTGCAGTTTGTGCAGAAGAAGTAAACCAAATGGGTTTAAAATGATTTCAAGTTCCATCAATACGACTTCCCTAGTTTCAATACACCGGAAGCTTCCTATCAGTTTTATTCACAGAATCACAGAATGGTTTATGTTGGAAGAGACTTAAAGATCATCTAGTTCCAACCCTACTTCCATGGCCAGAGAACTTGTCACTAGATCTTGCTATTCAGAGCCCAATCCAGCCCACTAAAAGAATGGGGAGTCTACAACCTCTCTGAAGATTGCATTTGAATTTGACAATACTTTGATACAGAATCACTCATCATCTTTTTTAGGACAATATACAATATTCAAATATTTAAACCTGACTTTGTCAAAGTAATGTTACTCCATGATCCAAATTGTCTTTAAATAAAAATAAGCCTTAATGAATTTTTTGTCTTATTTGGCAAGAAAAAATCGCAGCATGTTATTACCAGATCTGAAAAACAACCCAAATATCCTGTATTTTCACCTTGTCACTCTAAGAAACAGGACAAAATGAAGTCTATTTTACATAGGAAGGGCTGGATGAGATTATTTAAACATTATGAAGGAATCTGACTTCCCCAAACCTTAATCAGCCATAGTTTTTTTTTTCTAGATTAAAAACTACTACCACTTCTATTCAGAGCCCTATTTAAAAACAGAGGTATGTGTGTTATGCTTGTAGATATTTTCCTCAGTGGAAATGCCAATCAAAGCTGTTCATTCCTGTTTCACTGTTCCAGTCCTTTCTCATAACCTACTCTTGGGGCTATGCAGTGGATGGAACCAGAGAACTGTGCAAAATATTAGAAATGGAGTATTTTTCAGTCATTTCATTTATCACAGCACTATACACACAAACACATAACATCATACATTCAACAGATGAAACTACTCAGGAAAAACAGAGGGTTACTGTTCTGCAAGAACCTCAAGAAGAGATGCAGCTGTAAAATGCTTTATCTTTTGGAGCGGCTGGATATTGCTTTACCTTAGGACTCAATTTGACTAAAATCTCGTTCTTCTTGCGCTGTGAAAGGCAAATTTTACAAGTGACAGCACCCAAGGTCATCACTGTGTTCATGCAACCCTGAAGGCATGAACTCTAATAAGTTATAGCAGAAGATTCCAAAAGCACACACAAGTCCTAAACATATCTATAGGTTGATATTATGCCATGTAATTTGGAATGAAAAGAAGCCCTTAGCTCTGCTAAGACACTCATTACCTACTTTCTATTTATGTCATGTTTTAGAGAGAGGACTGAATACTGCTCTAGTGCTATGTCTGGTCTAGCAGCAGCAAATCCATTTTGAACTCTCAGTTTATTCTCCTTATTTGGGTTTATATTAGCAGGGAATCCCTCCCCAGCTGGCCAGCTTAATGCTTCTGTCGACTGCAGCAATAACCATGAGCAAGACCAAAAATGTCACCAGAACGTTTTCCTCAGACACGTCCTCTGAGGCATACACAAGGCACTGAGGCACACCAGTGTTTGCCTCTACATGTAGCAGGCCAAGAGGACCCCTGTGTGCTGCGTCTGCACTCTGAAGGGGCAAAAAGCCACGTGACGGCTCCTGCTCTGCCACATCCATGCTAACAAGTGGAATCTGTCAGCACCAGCTTAGTGGCATCTTAACATAGTGGAAGTACTGGAGAAGCAACCACACACCTGTCCAAAATGCACTAAAGACATCTCCATAAACACCACCTCCCACTGCAGGACACATTGGCCTTTAAACCAGCTTGCTTCTAGGTATTTTAGCAATATGTGCTAGTGAGCAGTAGAGTGGAATGCACGATTACTTGTTGAAAGGCCTCATTCTGCCATAGTGAATATTTTTATAAAGCATTGTAGATTTCTAGGTGCACAGTGGAAAGTTTAGTTCTGATTTTCTCATTTTGCAGTCTGTATCACAGGACCCCAAAGCCAAAACCAGCTCTTCTATACATGATAAAACAATCTTCACACCTCAAAGAGCTTACTAGCTTAGCTCAAAGCAGATTTAGCTATTTTTGTATTTCAGTGCTGAAGTTCATTAATCTCTTCACAGTAATAAGAACACAGACTATCTGAGTTAAGACTTTATCGGCAAATCAAAGAAATACTGTTAAGCAAATAGCAGGTAAATCTATTTTCAAGTTCTAAAGACACAGGTAGCTGAAAGCTGTGATTTAAACAAAAACCAAACAGTCAAACAAACCAAAAAGAAAAGAAAAGGGAAGAAAACAAGCCTCATCATCTTCTCTTTTTCCTTCCATTTTAGAATATTAGAATAGAAAACACGTGGAATTTTAGATAGGTCTACGGTATATGGTGACAAACATGCCACAGTCTCTCTAAGAACAAACTAAAGATGATCCCTTTCAAGCTTGTATTTCCTAAATTTTATTCTTCTCATGCTAATGAACAAAAATATATTATATACACGTTTGCCATTGCCATTCTTCTTTGGTAACAGCGGTTGCCAGAAAAGAGCTGCCATGTTGCAACTCTGGTTTCTTTCTGTCCAGTTCTGAATATACAGGTGGCAGAATTTTTTTTAAATCCTAAATTTATTTGATCACCTCCTTTCCACTAAAATTGCAGAAGGCATTTAGCTAAACAGACAAAAGATTCATTAAAACAGAAAGATGACCCATTTCCATTGATCATTCCTTCACAACTGATCACTTAGTTTCTACAAGGAAACCTACGCTGTTTTATTGACAGATACTCCATCTACTATTTTATAAAGCCATTTTAGATAATACCTTGGAAACTAATGCTCACAGCATGGATTAGGAAACATGCAATGCCAAAGATAGAAAGCATAGTAATAGGCTTTGCCCCATAGCTCCTGCATTACTTGAAGTGCTCTGAGGATACAGAAGAAATGCCTATCTTAAGAGTGATCTCTAGGCCCAAACTTTGGCTTGGAGTTGCATGAGATTAAAATCAAATCTATTTCAATTAAGCAGCAAGGTAAGCACCACATGCATTTTATAGCTGCTAAAAAGAGTATTTCGAAACTTCTAATCTAACACTTTGGCCTGGATTTGTCTGGGCTAGGATATCCTTTGGTACTTGACTTTTATCCCATGTCATCTTCCTCCCCAGTTTTCTGGTTATCACTCAAACATGCATATTATGTTAGCACTGTGTGGTGCAGGAAGTGAAACCAAACCATACAGGAACTGGGAGATACTTGTTACTGCTAAATGCTCTGTCTTGCTTGCAGATTGTAAGAGCTCTTTCATTTCTCCCAGTTACCTCCTGAAAATTGGCTACAAACCCCAGGTGGAGAACTAATATGAATTCCTGGACTCCAAACAGTCTTGTCAAAAATTAAGGCAGTGGAAACTATTCACAGTAAATTGAAAGATCTCATGTTTTTCTATGTATTTTTTCCTAGCTACTTTTCCAATGTCACAAAAGCAAAGTGCATACAGCACTTTGTTAAGCACACAAAGGGTGTGAAAATAAATGCAAGAGAGCAGCGACCAACAGGGAAAAGAGAACAAACAAAAAGAAAAAGCAAAATTAATGCACACTGTTCCACAAGGAACAAAGCAGAATTCCATTGACTACCTGGAATGTAACAAGCAAGCAAGAGATTCCTGACATCTACATTTAAAAAGCTATGCTAATGAAAATTGTTCTGAAACATTCAAAGCAGAAATACAAAGGCAGTACTGCACAGGGTATATTAAGACTCTAAACACTTTGAAAATATATTACTAGCCTCTTAAAATTTAGCAAAATTCTGAATGCATCAAAAAAAAATATGTAGAGAGGTGGTGGTTCTGTATGTCGAAAAAAGGCTCTGTGATAGAGCTAAACAAAACCATGTACTTGGAATCAATTATGAAAACAGAATTTTGAACATTCAACTACTTTTAGTCTTCTGTACACATCACACTAGTGTATTAAGGAAACTTAAAATGCTTTTCCATGAAGTGGAAATCT